CTTTGTCATGGAGATGTCTTATTTTTTTCCTTTGACATTCTAGCATAGTGTTGAAACATGTCACAGAATGGTCATAAAGTGGAAGAACAGTTGGAGAGCTTACACAGAGATGAAATTAATTTCCCAGACAACAGCAAGTAATTCAGGGCAGAAGCTCTGAAGAAACACCAATTCCTTTTACAGCGAGTTTACTGGAGCCACTGAAGTGTTTGAAGAAAGATGATTGAAAGAACCTCGTGGGAGGGAGAAATCACATGATGCGAAAGTCCCTGGAATGTCTGGAGCTTGGCCTGAGGTGAGGCACAGGTATGGAGTTGAAGATGGAAACCCCCAGATGTGAGCATGAACTTAATGGTTTGGAAAATGGAGATTCATGTGAATAGTTAGTTTTCTTAAAGTTAGAGGAGATGCTATACAGAATAAAGATCCACTCATATCTGGTGGGTTGTATTGATTATAAATGACTATTAGCGGGCGCGGTGGCTCACGCCTGTAATCCTAGCACTCTGGGGAGGTCAAGGTGCGGATTGCTCGAGGTCAGGAATTCGAAAACAGCCTGAGCGAAGAGCGGAGAACCGTCTCTACTATAAATAGAAAGAAATTAATTGGCCAATAACTATTTATAGAAAAAAAATTAGCTGGCATTGTGTGGTGCATGATGCCTGTAGTCCCAGTACTCGGGGGGACGAGGAGGTAGTATGCTTGAGCCCAGGAGTTTGAGGTTGCTGTGAGCTAGGCTGACCCATGGCACTCCTCACGCTGGGCAACAAACGTGAAACTCTGTCTCAAAAAAAAAAAGAACTATTAATTTGCAGTATATCTTGACTCTTAAAAAGCAGCCAAGGAATAGAAGTACCCCTGTGTTTCTATTAGGTTGGGCATTTGATTGGCCACCTAAATAAAAAACAAGAAAACAAAACACTGGCTTAAGTAGCACAGAAGTACGTAAGACACGTACCAAGGGTGGTGCTTGTCCTGGATGGTCTGTGGCCGCCGGTTGTTGGGATACTCGGGCTCCTGTCATCCACTGCACCACACCCTGGCAGCTTTTTTGCGGAACTAAGGAGGGAGCTCCAGCTGCAGCCACATGACCTTAAGAGCGGCAGGGGAAGGATACAGGAAGGGGCTTCTTTCCCCTCCCTTTTAGCCTACTTCCCTGAAGTTGTGCACAGCATTGCCAATTTCATCATGGCCATGTTTCCTCGTGGCTGACTGTTCTGGGGCGGTTGAGGTAGCTGGTGATGTTGTTGCTTTTTCATTTCCGGGTTCCAGGTTCTGAAGCCCAAGGATTTGGACGCTGTGTTTTTTTGCGGCATGTATCCCTAGGTCAGGTTGTTCTGTGTTCTTGTTGTTTATAACCTGTGTTTTGGCCTGTTACAGGGAAAACCTGAATATTCCCTCCCTGGTACTTCTGCTACTCCATTATCTTAGATAAAATTAAGTATTGCCTAAAACTTGCTTCTGTCGTGTCTTTCCTCTTTTTTGGTTCTGTTGACTGTGTCGGGGCAGAAGAGGGGCCGCTGGGTACCAGTTTCTTCTTTCACATTAGGAAGTGGCCATCCATATCCTGGAGTTATAGAGTTCTTCACCATGTTGCAGACTCTAGTTAAGAAACCGCAGGCTTTGTTGGATATTTGTGAACCTATATTTCTTAAGTTCTGAGTCTCTAGTTATTTAAGATGGATGGTATGATTGACTTTCACTTTTTTTTGGATGGGTGTTGCTCTGGTTGCCAGGCTGGTACGTTGGCGTCATCAGGAGGCCCATTTCACTCAACTCCGGGCCGAGAGTTGATCCTCCCACCTACAGCCCCTGGTAGCAGGGACTACAGGCGTCATCTAACCTACATTTCAGCTGAGATGTTCTTTTGACGACTCTTGGGTTCCAGGCTGTTCTTTTTTTCTTTTTTTTTTTTTTGAGACAGAGTCTCGCTTGTGTGCCACCTAGAGTGAGTCCGTGGCGTTCAGCCTAGCTCACAGCCAGCCTCAAACTTCTGGGGCTCAAGCGATCCTCCTGCCTCAGGCCTCCCCCAGTAGCTGGGACTATAGCATGTACCACCATGCCCGCTAATTTTTCATATATATTAGTTGGCCATTAATTTCTTTCTATTTATAGTAGAGATGGGATCTCGGTCTTACTCAGGCTGGTTTCGAACTCCTGACCTCAGCAATCCGCCCGCCTCAGCCTCCCAGAGGCTGTTCTTTGAACTCCTGGCCTCAAGCAGTTTGCCCATTGGGTTTCCCAAAGTGCTAGAATGGTAGGCCTGAGCTAGCACACCCTGCTAAATTTGCTTTTTTAAATTTGGCAGATATTTGGTTTAAAAAGAAGGAAGAAAAGGCCCTACCTTTTTGGAGTTTGAAGTTTTTAGAACCGTAGGGAGGATGATAACATGATTATTAAATTAGGAATGAAAGGGAAGGGCAGATACGTGACGAAATGAGAAAAGACTAAAGACCTCCCAGCTCCCTCCTGGCCTCGGCACTCATGCTCCTAGGCACTAACGGACGCAGGCAGGTCCAGGAAACTGACGGCTCACCACAGGCTGAGTCCCAGAGCATTTTGTAATAGAACATGCTGGTAGCTGCAGAGATTTCTTCCCTTCCTTGGAGCATGGGAAGGTTTGTCTGCCTACCCTCCTCGAGTCCAGCGGTAGCCCTTGCTGACTGCAGTTCATGCACACATGCACGTGGCTCACGCAGCCTCCCACGTGGAACGGGGCTGTGAACATTAGCGGCATCCCGTAGAAAGTAAAATCAGAAGAGCAGCTATGAGCTCACTTGCTAGTCCCTCTGAGATGCTCTCAAATCAAAAGAGAGGTATTTATCTGTAGATGTGAAGCATATGATATTCTTTTTAACCACACCGGGTATGTTAGTCTGTGGCTAAAGGGAAAAGAGAATAAATGGCAGATTAACTCATGGGCACTTTGGGAGAACGTGCCTGTGAGTGTTGAGCTAGCTGCGGCCACAGAGCGCGCAGAGGGGGAGGGACTGTTGCTGGACAGCACACTACGTTCTGTACGCTCTCTGCTCAGGTTGATGATGGCTTTGTCAAATCACCTGAATGCCGTGGAGTCCGAGAAGCAGAAGTTCGTGCGCAGGTGCGCCGCCTGGCCAGGAGAACCATGGCTGCGGGATGAACTGGCCAACACACCAGCAGAAACTACAGAAGAGCGAGCAGTCTGTGGCTCAGCTGGAGGAAGAAAAGAAGCATTTGGATTTATGAATCAGCTCAAAAATACGATGACGACAATTCCCCATCTGTGAGTGCTCTGTAGCGAGTGGGGTGCTGACATTTGCCACGCTGCGGCCAGCAGAGCACGGCAGCAGAGCTGCCAGGGTTTCTGTCTTCTCTTGGTGATTGCATTTGGCAGGGCCAAGGCTGGTGGGTCTCTGGGCAAGTGCGTAGTCTTTTTATACGTGTTTTAGATAACGGTCAGAAATGTAAAAATGCTTTGTGACATAAGGCACAATGAATGCCACATTCAGCGAGGTCTGGCCTAGCTTGAGAACTTCCCTACCCCTCTGCAGTTTGTTTCTGTACTTTCCGCTGCCGGGTCAGCAGTGGCTGAACCCACCCGTCTGTGACCCAGACTCTGGTTCTGCAGCTTACAGAGCTCTCTTTGAAACTCTTCCTCCCAGGCCCCAGTACACTACTACCTGGCCTCGTCTGCTACCTCTCTCATGCCTCTGTCGGCCTCCTTGCCACCTATCTTTCTATCTTTCTGTTTCTGCAGTGTAGGGTTCCCAAGGATGCTCTTGTGTTTTTTTTTTTTTTTTTTTTTTTTGAGATAGAGTCTCGCTCAGTGCCCTTGGCTACACTGCAGTGATGTCATCATAGCTCACTACAACCTCAAACTCCTGGGCTCAAGCAATCCTCCTGCCTCAGGTTCCCAAGTAGCAGGACTATAGGAGCACACACACCACACCCTGGGTAATTTTTCTATTTTTAGTAGAGACAGGTTCTTGCTCTTGCAGGGGCTGCTCAATTCCTGACCTCAAGCGATCCTCCTACCTCTGACTCCCACAGTGCTAGGATTATAGGTGTGAGCCACCACACCTGGCTGCTTTTCCTTTACTATTGGCTCTGTTTGGATGTTTATCCTAGTCTCAGTTATTCTTTATTTTATTTTTTATTTTTTTTGAGACAGAGTCTTGCTTTATTCCCTAGGCTAGAGTGAGTGCTGTGGTGTCAGCCTAGTTTACAGCAACCTCAAACTCCTGGGCTCAAGCAATCCTGCTGCCTCAGCCTCCCGAGTAGCTGGGACTACAGGCATGTGCCACCATGCCCGGCTAATATTTTTCTATATATATTAGTTGGCCAATTAATTTCTATTTATAGTAGAGACGGGGTCTCGCTCTTGCTCAGGCTGGTTTCGAACTCCTGACCTTGCGTGATGCACCCGCCTCGGCCTCCCAGAGTGCTAGGATTACAGGCGTGGCCCACAGCGCCCAGCCCAAGCAAGCTTTTTGTCACTCCTGATTAAACTGGTAGATAAGCCAAATGGTGGAGGATCCTACCTTGATGTTAAAAACTGATAATATTTTTTTTTTTTTTTTTTTTGAGACAGAGTCTCGCTTTGTTGCCCAGGCTAGAGTGAGTGCCGTGGCATCAGCCTAGCTCACAGCAACCTCAAACTCCTGGCTCAAGCAATCCTCCTGCCTCAGCCTCCCAAGTAGCTGGGACTACAGGCATTCGCCCCACATGCCCAGCTAATTTTTTTTGTATATATTAGTTGGCCAATAATTTCTTTCTATTTATAGTGGGAGACGGGGGTCATGCCTCTTGCTCAGGCTGGTTTCGAACTCCTGACCTCGAGCAATCCGCCCGCCTCGGCCTCCCAGAGAGCTAGGATTACAGGCGTGAGCCACCGCGCCCGGCCCCCAAAACTGATAATCTTTTGTAAGATTTTTAGTTAAAATGAATTCAATCTCAAAGAGTTTCAGGACGGGATGTATAGTACTTGTAAGATGAAGGGTTGTTCTGGGTCTGTTTTACAGGAGGATAAGGACTCGGATTCTACCAAAGAGCCTCTGGATGACCTTTTCCCCAATGATGAAGACGACCCAGGACAAGGCAGTGAGTGACGGGGAGTGATGGGAGTGTTGCCATGTGCCCTGGGAAGGTGGTGACTGGTGGGAGCCTCAGGACATGTAGCCTGCCTCATGGAAGCAGGAGCACAGCTGGGTTGAGTTTTGTTCTCCACGAGAATTTAAAACAGTTTTTGTTTGTTGAGCTATAGGAATAAGTTAGACCAGACGCTAGGACACAGGGCACATGTTCGCAGCTTGGCTGTGATCTGTGGACTCTCACAGAGGACAGAAGTCAGAATTGCTTTATTCCGCTGGTTTCCTGGTGCCAAGAGAAGTCTCACGGTGCTATGAGCAGACAGGGCTCCATCCCTGACATGTTAGCACCGTCTCTTGCTTGCCCAGGTAATTCTAGGAAAAGATCTAAACAGCGTCAGGGCTGAAGCGAGTGAGGACAGTGTTAAAGGAGCTGACGGGTCTCGGTGATGTTGTTCAAAGCCCCTCTGAAGCGCAGCTCTCTCTCTGCAGTCCAGCAGCAGCACAGCAGCGCGGCCGCCGCGGCCCAGCAGGGCGGCTACGAGATCCCCGCGCGGCTGCGCACGCTGCACAACCTGGTCATCCAGTACGCCTCCCAGGGGCGCTACGAGGTGGCCGTGCCCCTCTGCAAGCAGGCGCTGGAGGATCTGGAGAAGACGTCGGGACACGACCACCCAGACGTGGCCACTATGCTCAACATCCTGGCCTTGGTCTACAGGCTAGTCCTTTTCATTCATCTACTGGGTTTTACCTGCAGACAATGTTTTTAAGCAACTTACCCCTTAAAAATATTTATTTTTTTATAAATATGTATAAACTATTTTTCAGCCTTACTATCCACTTTTCTTTAAACAGCCAAGGGTTAAACTCGAAATATTTAGTAAGCTCTGTGGCAAGGGTGTCATCGAGTCAGAACAGACCCTGCCTTTCTGCAATAGCCCACGTAGACCTTTCACTCTGGCCACAGTAAGCTATTTATCCTTTTTCCACAAGGCTCTGTGTACTAGGCTTCTTTTGTCTAGACTGGCCTTCCCACTTTGCCAGTACCCTTCCACTTTGAAGAAGGATATCTACTTTGACAAACGATATTTGTTAATGTCCTTCCAAGGGCCTGGTCGACTCTGTCTCCTTCTAGAATTCAGGATTCCACTTGACCTTTGCCCCTTTTGTGTTTATCTCTGCTGAAGGGGGCGGTGGCGGGGAGCAGTGGTGCAGAAGAGCTCCTGTGGCTGGGTACCTAGGGCAGAAGGGCTGGGGGCAGGGCCGCCTGTCAGGGTTTATGTGAGGTCATAGGGTGTGGGGATGGGCACCAGAGCAAGGGTGGGGACGGGGTAGAGGAGGAAGAGTAGCCCTTGAGAAATGCAATAATACAGCTTTCTAAATGGAGACGTGATTTCTTTCTTTCTTTTTCTTTTTGGTCTCGCTCTATCATCCAGGCTGGAGGGCAGTGGTGTGATCATAGTTCACTGCAGCCTTGATCTTCTGGGCTCAAGTGATTGTCCAGCCTCAGTCTCCCGGGTAGCTAGGAATATAGGCACGTGCCTCCGTGTCTGGCTAATTTAAAAAAATTTTTTTGCAGAGATGGGCGTCTCGAATATTACTCAGGCTGGTCTCGAAGTCCTGAGCTGAAGCGATCCTCTTACCTTGGCCTCCCAAGGTGCTAGGATTATAGATGTGAGCCACTGTGCCTGGCCTAGTGATTTCTTGAAAAAGAGAATTTTGAAAGTCAGTAAAATAAAGAAAAACACAAAAGAGAAAGTAAGCACTCATAACAACACTTCTATTTTTTTTGGGACAGAGTCTCACTCTGTTTCCTGCGTTAGAGTGCTGTGGCATCAGCCTATCTCACAGCAACCTCAAACTCCTGGGCTCAAGCAATCCTTCTGCCTCAGCCTCCCGAGTAGCTGGGACTATAGGCATGCGCCATCATGCCCGGCTAATTTTTTTCTATATTTGGTAGAGACAGTTCTCGCCCTTACTCAGGCTGGTCTCAAACTCCTAAGCTCAAACGATCCTCCCACTTCAGCCTCCTGAGTGAGTAGTTGAGACTATAGGCATGAACCACCATGCACAGCTGATTTCTGTAGAGACAGGTCTTGCTTTGTTGCTCAGGCTGGTCTTGAACTCTTGGCCTCAAGCAATCCTCCCACCTTACCCTCCCAAAGTGCTGGGATTGCAGGCATGAGCCACCATGCCTGGCCAGCATTGTGTTTTAATTTGCATTTATTTGCTCATATAGTTTTAATCATTTGTATCATGTGAATTTTCTGTTATCTTGCCCATTTTTCTATTAGGATTTTAATGCTTATAATAGTATACTTTTGTTTTCATTTCTACTTTGAATTTCCTGGTGGGCTTGTTAAATCACAATGTTCTGGGCCTTACTTCCAGAGTTCCTGATTCAGCAGGTCTTGGGGTAGGTCTGGGTTTCTAGTAAGTTCCTGTTGAAGTTGATTGCTGTTGGGTTGGGGCCACACCTGAGAACTACTGCTAATTAATAGTTACAGATATTCTATGACATGTCATAGTTTACAAAAGTCTTTAGGATACCTTGTCTCATTTGGTTCTCACAATACTCTTAGGTAGTTTTGTTTTTTTAATTGCATTTACCAATTTTTGAAACTTTATTTTGTACTTGCTGTCCTTCACAAAGTTTGATGAAGCTTACAGTGTTTAATAGGATGATTGAATCTAAAATCCCAACAGTATATGTGGCCAGAATCAGTGTGTTTCAGAGGTTCTGGAAGCCGTGTTAACTCTTCTCACGTTCTGCCGGGCAAAGCCTTGCTGGGTAGCTGTTAATGCTCAATTGAGAGGGCCGGGCGCAGTGGCTCACACCTGTAATCCTAGCACTCTGGGAGGCCAAGGCGGGTGGATTGCTCAAGGTCAGGAGTTTGAAACAAGCCTGAGCAAGAGTGAGACCCCGTCTCTACTAAAAATAGAAAAAAATTAATTGGCCACCTAAAAATATATAGAAAAAAATTAGCCGGTCATGGTGGCTCGTGCTTGTAGTCCCAGTTATTTGGAAGGCTGAGGCAGGAGGATCACTTAATCCCAGGAGTTTGAGGTTGCTGTGAGCTAGGCTAACACCGTGGCACTCTAGCTCAGGCAAGAAAGTAAGACTCTGTCTCAAAAAAAAAAATACTCAATTGAGAAATACGTGTAGTAAATTTCAAAAGAAAGTACTTGTTTGTAGTCACATCATTAGTGAGTAGCACATTTAAACTGAGAGGGTCTTCTGTAGTTCTAAAATTAGATTTAAAAGAGATATGTGAATTTATGTCTAAAACACTTAACGTGTGTTTTTCAATTTAGGGATCAAAACAAATACAAGGACGCAGCCAACCTACTGAACGACGCCTTGGCCATCCGTGAAAAGACGCTGGGCAAAGACCATCCTGCGGTTCGTATATCTAGTTCTTTGATTCTTTTTATGTTCTGTGTCCCCATCAGTTTCTTTTATCCAACTCATTCTAATATTAAACCCAACAGGGAGAGTTTAAGAGCTGCCTTTTCCGTAGACGGTGCAGGTAGGGTCTTCACTCTGTCCGCGCTGGCGCAGGCTGCACTCGGGCGGTTCTGCTACGCAGCATGAGCCGCTGCACTGACCTCTCGTTTGTAGCCATCACCTCTGATGGATCACCCACCGTAATTTTTGATCCTAAATCAAATTGCATGCACTTTCAGAAATTTTTTTCTGAAGAATTCATATCGTTTCTGTCTTAAAATCTGGTTAATTTATATACAGATCTGTTTTGGGTGGCTTTTTGGCTTCCAAGGAAATAAAAAAAAAAAATTAAGACCCTGTTGATACTGTTGATTTGTTTAATTTTAGTATTGTGTTACCGTGTGTGATCGACAGTACATTGAATCACTTTTTTCCCTTTAACTGGTTACGTTCTTCTATCCAGTTGAGAGTGCTTTATTCTAAGTAGTGAGTATAAGTGAATTTGTGATGTGTCAATGTACCTTATTTTGTTTTCTTCTACTGTTCTTAGTCGTGCCCTCTGTGTTGGCAGGTGGCGGCCACTTTGAATAACCTCGCGGTCCTCTACGGGAAGCGAGGGAAGTACAAGGAAGCCGAGCCCTTGTGCAAACGGGCCCTGGAGATCCGAGAAAAGGTACTGGAGCACGGAGGGTTCTCCTTCTCTGACATCGGGTTTTCTTGTGTTTTTAAAAAAAATTTCAGTTTTAGGTTTTGAGAAATGACCACTGTGATGTGTTATACTGATCATTTATTGAAAATAACTCATTTAATAGGGCAGACAGCCCACAAAACAAGGCCAGACTGGCCCATACAGGTCCGTGTGCAAGACCCAGTTATGAGGAGTGTGTGTTCTGACAGGGGCAGTCCTGAGGCCATGCTCTCCCCAGCCTGGTGTGGCCTGGAAATGACTCTCATCGAAGAACGTCTAAGGACTAGAGGTGGAAAGCCTGGGGCATTACATTTGTGGGTTTTTTTTTTTTTGGTTTTTTTTTTGAAATATAGTCTCACTCTGTTGTCTGGGCTAGAGTGCCATGGCATCAGCCTAGCTCACAGCAACCTCAAACTCCTGGGCTCAAGTGATCCTCCTGCCCTCCTGCCTCAGCCTCCCGAGTAGCTGGGACTACAGGCATGCGCCACCATGTCTGGCTAATTTATTCTATATATTTTTAGTTGGCCAATTAATTTCTTTCTATTTATAGTAGAGACGGGGTCTCGCTCTTGCTCAGGCTGGTTTTGAACTCCTGACCTTGAGCAATCCGCCCGCCTCGGCCTCCCAAGAGCTAGGATTACAGGCGTGAGCCACAGCGCCCGGCCAAAAGCAGCTTTTTTATACTCAGATTTTGCTCCATGAAACATAGGGCAGGAAGGCATTTTTTCCTTAGGTCAGATGCAAATGTGTCTTGTGGTTTCAGTTCCTGACCTTCAGCGTCACATTGGCTTTCTGGTGCTCAGAGCGTATGTACTGAATCAATGACCTGGTTTGTCATTAGGACATCAAGCTATGTTAACTGTGAAATATACTTGCATCCTAGCACTGGAATCTGTTTAGTAGATAGAGTTAAAACTGCACTAAATAACAGGGCTAATAAGTCTCAAATATGTTCACCTATGTATTTTTTTACATTTTTAGAGATAGGGTCTCACTCTGTCACCCAAGCTGAGTGCAGTGGGACGATCAAAGCTCATTACAGCCTTGAGCTCCTAGGCTCAAGTGATCCTCACCTAGTTATTCATGCCTTCTGAGTAGCTAGGGCTACAGGTGCCCGCCATTATGCCTGGTTAATTTTTAAAATTTTTTTCTGTAGAGACAAGAGTCTCACTATGTTATCCAGGCTGGTCTTCAACTCCTGGCCTCAAGAGATCCTCTGTGTAAGACAATCTCACCTGGCCTAAATAATATTCACTCTTTTCAAACCAGTATTTAAAACTTTTGTAGTTTCGGCCAGGTGTGGCTCATGCCTGTAATCCTAGCACTCTGGGAGGCCGAGGCGGGTGGATCAGGAGTTTGAAACCAGCCTGAGCAAGAGCTGAGACCTCGTCTCTACCATAAATAGAAAGAAATTAATTGGCCAACTGATAAATATAGAAAAAATGAGCCAGGCATGGTGGCACATGCCTGTAGTCTCAGCTACTCGGGAGGCTGAGTTAGCAGGATCGCTTGAGCCCAGGAGTTTGAGGTTGCTGTGAGCTAGGCTGACGCCATGGCACTCACTCTAGCCTGGACAACAAAGGGAGATTCTGTCTCAAAAAAAACTTTTGTAGTTTCATTCATGTCTAATGACATGACCGGTAATAATAATCATACTTAATGTTTACTAAGCTCTTGACCATGTATCATTCACTAAGCTAAGCAGTTTAACACATTAAGTGCCATGTGAGTTGTATTTAATTCATGCTAGTTTTGAGCCCAGGCCTTGTGAAGCATATGTGACTCACATGTCTCTTTACCTATAGCTGTGTGAATTATTTTTCAAGTTGCATATAACTCAAGCACAGAAAACAATAAAAAATAAATTTTTCATTAAATTAGAAAGGATCACTTTTTTTTCAAAGTTTTTATTCTAATTTTGTAACAAAACCCCGTGGCCCCAAGGAAAAAAAATTTTTCTATTGTGGCAGTCAGTGTGTTAAATGTGTGATCTCACTTAACTTTCACAGCAGTTCTATGACGTAGGTCAAACATGGCCCCATTTTAGAAGCAAAGACACCACAAACTGTATGTAATGAGTGACGTGTCTGTGGTTGGGTGGCTGAGAAGTAGACTGGTATTGGGTGTGGGTCTCTGTCCATAGCCCGTAATACACCCTCATTGCAGGAAACCTAGAAAATTCACACAGAGACAATATGAAACTCACCTGAATCCATCTTTTAACATTTTAAATATCTTTTGCTTGCTTCTGTATCTATTGTTTACATAATTGAAACCAAACTCTACACATTATCACGTATACTGCTTATTTTCTTTACATTTTTAACACACGTACTTTTCATGTCATAAAAATATTTTTATAAACATCCTTTTTAAGACTGCTTTTTTCTCCATGGCATGGGTACTTTGGTTGTCTAGAAACTTGGTTGAGGGGCATGTGGGAGTATTCTGGGAATTTTAAAAAACTTCAAAGGAATATGGATTTGTATCTTTTCGCCTTTTGCCCCACACATATTATTGCTTTTTCTTAGACTTTTGTTTAATGCTAGGTTGCTCAAATCCTAAATACTTGCAGGTGTTATTTGAGGATGCTTTTAAAGATGTACATTATAGGTCTAAGCACTGGCCAGGGGGTTGCTTCCCCTGTCCAGAGGCCTTTGGCTCTGCACCCGGTGTCTGGGGCGAGGCGGGGATGGCTGCCTGTCTCCTGTCCCTGGTGTCCGGGTCTGTCTTCCGTGGGCTTCTTCGTCTGGCGGGAACGTGATCTGTCCAGGTTGCGAGAGGTAGTATCTAGGAAGGATCGCACACAAAACAGAACAGAACCTTGCAACCCTTGAGGCTTAACAACTTCTACTCTACTTCCTGGGTTCTGTCATGTTTTAGTCTATAGTACAAGTTGAGTATCCCTTACCCGAAATGCTCCACAATCTGAAACTTTTTGAGCACAGACTTGATACTCATTGGAGTGTTTCGGATTTCAGAATTTTGTATTTGGGATGCTCAACCTGTGTGAATTTTTTTTTCCCCTAGATGAAAATAAACCCATTTGGATGCATGCTGAAGAAAGAGAAGAATGCAAAGTAAGAATATACCTTTTTGAGATTTTCTAAATTGGGTATACTGCATTCAAGATATTTATTAATTTGAAATTATCTGTTGCAATTTAGGGAAAGCAGAAGGATGGGACATCTTTTGGAGAGTACGGTGGCTGGTACAAAGCTTGCAAGGTTGATAGGTATGTCTGTTCAGCCGGGAAAACTGAGAAGCAGGGGGCAGGTGGCAGCGTGCCCTAGGGCAGCTCATACATGACCCAGTGGGAAAACTATACAGATGTTGTGGGCGCACATTCCCATGATTTCCCCTAATTCCAATTAAAACTTTATCCCACTATGTAAATGAGATCATTTACATATGCAAAACCCACATTACTATAGTGGGTTCTGTCCATTAGCACTACTTTGTTCAAGGATAACTACCTAATTGAAGGAAAAGGAGATACCTAAATAAGGAGAACAGTTTTAAGGTAGCTGCATAGCAGGCTCCTGGCAAGTGTGCTGGTGGCCCTGGAAGGCCAGCCCTCAGCAACACATGGAGACACTGACCCACACATGCCCAGCATCTCCTGCCGAGCGTGGCCTCCACGTGCCGCAGAGGGAAGGGGAAGCCCCTCTGAGGACGGCCCCTGGGAGCCCTGCCTCCTGGGCCTGGAGCCTGCGCTCCCCACCCACACGCTGTCCCTTGCGCCAAGTGGCACACACCTTGCTTTTTTCCAATCTTTTTTTCTTTTTTGAGACAGAGTGTCACTCTGTTGCCTGGGCTAGAGTGCCGTGGCGTCGGCCTAACTCACAGCAACCTCAAACTCCTGGGCTCAAGCGATCCTCCTGCCTCAGCCTCCTGAGGAGCTGGGACTACAAGCATGCACCAGCATGCCTGGATGATTTTTTTTTTGAGACAGAGTCTCACTTTGTTGCCCAGGCTAGAGTGAGTGCCGTGGTGTCAGCCTGGCTCACAGCAACCTCAATCTCCTGGGCTCAGCGATCCTCCTGCCTCAGCCTCCCGAGTAGCTGGGACTACAGGCATGCGCCACCATGCCCGGCTAATTTTTTTTTGTATATATATTTTTAGTTGGTCAATTAATTTCTTTCTATTTTTGGTAGAGACGGGGTCTCGCTCAGGCTGGTTTCGAACTCCTGACCTTGAGCAATCTGCCCGCCTCGGCCTCCCAAAGTGCTAGGATTACAGGCGTGAGCCACTGCGCCCGGCCTGGATGATTTTTTTATATACATATTTTTAGTTGTCCAGCTAACTTCTTTCTAACTTTTTCGTAGAGACGGGGTCTTGCTCTTGCTCAGGCTGGTCTCGAACTCCTGACCTCAAACGATCTACCTGCCTTGGCCTCCCAGAGTGCTAGGATTACACACCTAGCACTAGGCATGAGCAACCATGCCCAGCCCTTTTCCAATCTTAACTTTCCTCATCCTTTGAGACTCAACTTACTGTTTATTTATTTTAGGAAAGTGAACCCTAGTTTGGAATAAATGCCCTCCCCTGGGTTCCCATAGCACTTACCATAATACATTACATTTATGTCTTTTCTTTCTCCCACCATTGTGTAGTTGACCAGAGACATGGAGGATAGCTTCTTTATTTCTGCACCTAAAATGCCTATCATCAATAAGAGAGAACAATCTCTCAAAGCACCTATTTGAACCTAAAATGAATCTAGGTTTACTTCTAAGTTTTTAGCAAGTGTGTGCTGTCAAGGATGCAGAGACAGGACCGTCTTGCCCACCACGTGCTTGCTGCTCCCCTCGCACGGGAAGCATCGGCCTCTGCCCTCAGACCCCGCTCACAGTGAGGTTCTGGTGGCGCGCTCCCACCTCCACGTGTGGAGAGAGGGGAGCATGTGAATAGCAGTGTTAACGCTGTCCTCGTTCCTGCTGGGCACAGACGGAGAGCTGTCTCTGGGGAAGCGTGCTGATCCCCAGACAGGCGTTTCTGTGACAGTGGCCAGTGGGCCGTGAGGCCTGCCGGTGTGTCTGGCCCGCGGCCTGCGGGCGGTGTGGGGTCCTCATGGCACTGGGAGGCAGGGCTGCGGGGGGGAGAAGGCTTAAAGTTCACAGTTAAGAATCGTGCCAGAGAGCGTGAAAACGTGTCCTCACAGCCCCGCACCCCGAGGCGCGGCAGGCTGTGTGCCGTTGGCGGTGGTCGCTCCAGAGCCTCCATCTGGTGGTTGTGTTTGTCGTGTGCTTCCTCACAGCCCCACTGTCACAACCACTCTGAAGAACCTGGGGGCGCTCTACAGACGGCAGGGCAAATTCGAAGCTGCAGAGACGCTGGAAGAAGCTGCCATGAGGTCGCGCAAACAGGCAGGTCACACCTTCTGTCTTTGACCCGTCAGAGCTTTGGATCTATGACTCTCTTTTACATGACTTTTATTGAAAGGCTGATTTAGAAATACAAAATCTTGACTATTTTAGTCTGTACAAATCAGATATATTGCTTCAAAATCCTTTAACATGACACCAAAAGCCTAGACAGGAAAGGAAAAATGGAATCGGTTGGATTCACCAAAGTTGCATGCTTATGTGTCCAAGGACACCTTCGAGAGAGTGAAAGGACAGCCCACACAGGGGCGCAGATACTTGCAATCCATTTATCTGATAAAGGTCTAGTATCTAGACAAGAAGACAACACAATTAAAAGTGAGCAAAGGGCCTGAGTAGATGTTCTGTGAAGACGGTGACAAGGCCCGGCAGGCGCGCGAGCAGACGCCCGGCACCTTAGTCCCAGGGAAACGCTCGCTGACACCACAGGACACTCAGCCACCTCATGCCCACCAGGGCGCTGTGATAAGAAACAAGACTTTGGAAAAAGAAATGGAAAATAACAAGTGTTGGGGAGGAGGTAGAGAAAGCGGAACCCTCATAATTCATTGCTGGGGGGAAGGTAAGATGGCGCGGCCACTGTGGAGGGAGTCTGATGGTTCGTCAGAAAGGTAAACTCAGAGTTACCCGGCGGCCCAGCACTTCCTCTCCCAGAGACGCCCTCGAACCCACACAGGTGCGTGCGTGCAGCCCACACCTGTCACTGTCTGCCAGCCCCTCCCTGCCTTCCTCCTCACCCCGCAGGGGAACCCCTATTCTGACTTCTTTTCCTCTAGTGATTAAGAACTGATATTTTTTTCCTAGTAAAGTTTAAACATCTCAGAACTACGTAAGAAAATGTACGTGCTAACGGGTCCACCTGTTCTCCCCTGCCCGGCTCACAGGGTCTTGACAATGTTCACAAACAGAGAGTGGCCGAAGTGCTGAATGACCCTGAGAACATGGAGAAGCGCAGGAGCCGGGAGAGCCTCAACGTGGACGTGGTCAAGTACGAGAGCGGCCCTGACGGAGGGGAGGAAGTGAGTATGAGCGTAGAGTGGAACGGGGTAAGTACAGTACACAGCCGGCACGCGGGAGGCCTCCGCCCACGGCACTGCCGGGCCTTCCTCCTGTCTCCCCGCTGCCATCGCACTCCTCACACCACGTGCCCGTTAAGCTTTCTGTGAGTCCTTCACGTCTGCTAGAGCTGGGGTCTGTCACTTGTGTGGTCATTGTCTTCTCCTGAGGACTCCATGAAAGCTGTTTGGCTTGACTCGGAGCACTCCAGTGCTGATTGAGTGTCCTGGCCGCTTAGAGCACGACCCGCTCTCTGGTTCATTTTAATACTGGGCTCAGATAACTAACTGGCTTCTTTGACTCACCCATTCCATTCTAACACCAGTGCCTCTAACTTCCTGACCAGGCTGCTCTGGACTTTGTTAGAATTAGTTAAAATGCCATTTAAATGGAATTTGTTTTTAGAAAAGAACAGCTCAGAAATGTGAGGGTGGCCGCTCTGCTTGATGCTGCGTATTTCCACGCGAGGGGCATCCAGCAGTCAGCGCGCTCCACACCGGCCTGCCGCGGACGTCCCCACCCGGCCCTCCTGCCGGTGTCTGAGACGGCTCAGCACTCCCGAGGGCTGCGCAGGCCTGCTCTGGGAGTTGCTGCTTTGCCTCTGGGGATTCTTGCCACCACTGGTCGTCCAGCCGTTGCCAGAGAGCAGGTGGCCTTCTGGACGTCTTTCTAGTGAATTTTTGTAACACATGTAATTTTTTTATACATTGAGCTGGTGTCTTTGGAATTTTGTTTTTCTCAGGAAGAGTTGTTGAACGTGGGATTTAACCTATCTGGGGCACTACTGATTTAGTTTTGAAGATTTAGTAGTGCAGTTTGATCATTTGTATTATATAGCTGTTTTGCCAAATTACATAATAGTCTGGGCCTTCTTATAATCTGTCTTACTTTCTGAATCTATTTATTCTTTAGGACTTTCCATGGCTGTAGCAGTTTGGTAGGAGCTAGTATTCTAAATAAACATTTTATAAAAAATGTGAGTAGCCAAAATTTCAGGGAGAACATTCTCTCGACTGTCTTTATCTGGCAGCTTTCTTGCTTTGGTTCTTTCTGTGCCAAGACAACCAATCAGCATCTGCTTTGCCTGCTCAGCCCAGGTGGGCAGCAGCCCAAAGCCGAACTGGCGCCCGAGTGGTCCCTACTCCTGCCGCGTTCTGTCAGAGCTGTGTACTGTACTCTGCTCTCGGCTGCCGCGCCCTGCATGCTTTGCGCAGAAGGGCCAGGCCCTTCTGGAGCCTCTAGAAGCCAGGATGCGGATTTTGATAACTGGAATGAAGTTTTGGAGGAACTTTCTCTTGAGACAGTATTTCTAGGTCCACATTTATATGAAATCATATGATGATAAAATTATTGACAGCTCAGAGTTCTATTACAGTTTTAAAGATGGACTCAGGGCTGTTGGAGGGCTGCTTTTGTCTCTTGTGGCGAGACGTGTGGTCAGGCCTCCTGTTGGTGTGGTGGGTGAAAGCAGCACTCTTCTGAACGCATGTGAGTTCCTCCGTCTGTGTGTCCTGCTCACTTTGGGCGTGTTATCATGGAGGAACACACATTCCCAGGATCGGGTGTTTCCTTTTTTGAGCAGCAGACTTGACTCTTAGACACCGGTGGCTTTGCATCTTTGGTGAAGTTCATCCCAGGGCGTGTTGGCCATGGGTCGATTCACCGGAACCACTGTGAGTCTCACGTCACGCAGTGCGGTGGTTCCCGAGCTCACTGGGCAGCGGAGAGAGCACTCCTCAGACGGAGTCCTGACAGAGCGAGCGAGTCCACTGAGGGCAGCGGGGCCCTCCACTGACTCCACGCAGCTGTTGCTCCACCAGGCAGTGCTGAGCTCAGCCAGATGATTGGAATTTTATTTTCAAAGTATAGTTTTGTTATTTAAAAAAGTCACTGATGGCAGTATATACGCTTAGATGTTTCTCTTTAATCAACTTAATTGAGGCATAATCACAGACAATAAAAGGAGCCCATCTTAAGTGTCAAGTTTGATTTAGATACTAGCACAGTGCAGTCCAGCACCATAGTTTGTCTTTGTGCAGATGTTAGAATAAAGTTTCTCATGCTGTTTCTGTTTAAGTGAAGATGTCCCTGAGATTACAAAGAAAATGGTTTAAAACTGTTATTTTACAACCACTTATTTGTGAGCATCAAGATTTTTTTCAGTATTACACAATTAAGATAAAATAGAGTAATAAATAGATGAGGTGTAGAAGCAGATGTTAAGAATATGCCCGTAATCTGTAACTTAAGATTTCAAATTTTGGGTCTCATGAAGGTGGCTTCATTGTTCCATTCACTTACTTTATTAGAATAACTTGTTATATATTTATAATGAGAAAATGCCATTTAGATTTTATTTTGTATTATGGTTCTGAATAAGATTTTAATTTAAAAAAAAAAAGGTTTGGGCCAGGCTCACTGGCTTGTGCCTGATAGTCCAGCACTCTGGGAGACCAAGGTGGGAGGATTACTTGAGCTCAAGAATTTGAGACCAGCCTGAGTAAGAGCAAGATCCCGTTTCTACAAAAAATAGAAAAATTAGCCAGGCGTGGTGGTGTGCCTATAGTCCCAGCTACATGGGAGGCTGAGGCAGGAGTATCGCTTGAGCCCAGGAGTTTGAGGTTATAAGGAGCTATGATGATGCCACTGTACTCTACCTGGGGCGACAGAGCGAGACTGTCTCAAGAAAAAAGAAAAGGTTTCAATACTTCTTTAAAACATTGAAAACTGCTGTCAGAGGGAAACATGGCGTTGCTCTGCTGGACGCTCCCATCTGTAGCAGAGGTGGCTGTAGGGCATGAGCACAGCAGCCTCTGATAATAACCATGTACACAGGTATTGGGCTTAATTTTTCTCAATATTCACAAATGATATTTAAAACAAAGCTAATGTGGTCAGAGAAAAGGCAAATGAGGTTAATAGTAACTGCCTCCTATGGATTCATGGTGTCTGTCACACAGATCTGAGTCATATGTTGTCTAAAGAAGGCAAGGTCAGTGACAGGTACTAGTCATTCATAGGGAGTGTTCGAATCACATTCTTGATGTGGCAGATAATTCATTTAGGGAAGTACAATGCTGTTCTTTTAAATATGTATTGTAAAAACTATGATTAAACTAGTTGAACAGAGTACCTTCCCTGACCGCATTTTTGTATAAAATGTGCAAATCTGAAAGCCACTGTCATGACGAGTCTGAGTTCTCTTTTATGGTCTTGCTTCTGAAAGTGCAGGTGCTGTGTACACACAAATCCTTTTCCAGATAAAATTGGGCCTCTTTCAACCTCTGTCCCCATGGCTGCATTTTTACTGTGTGACGTGCACGTGTCAGTCCCTGGTGCTATGTCCCTAACGGGATGTGTCTCGCTAGTGAGCAGCTGTCCCTGCAGCGGTACCACGAGGCAGGCAGTGCCACATCTCACGTCCCAGGGGCTGGACTCCCGGGTCAGTCTTTTAACCGCGCTGACCGCTGCCTGGGTTCCGGTTGCCAGCTCCGAGGGGTCCTTCAGAAGCAGCCTCCAGTCTGTCTCCCCATTTTCACACTGCTCCTGTGTTAAGGTTTCTACAAGTTTTTATCTTTTTTTGGCCCACGCAAAACTTGTGTAATCTATAATACACCAAATTGTTACCCAGGATTATTGGGGAATAGGATATATTATTATTAGAAATAGTTTAATTTTTATTTTATTTATTATTATTATTTTTTTTAGAGACAGGGTCACCTCAAGCTCCTGGGCTCAAGCCATCCTCCTGCCCTAGCCTCCCAAGTAGCTGGGATTATAGGTGTGCGCCACCACGCCCGGCTAATGATTTTTATCTTTTAAAAATGGTACTAGGTAGACAATTAGAATATACCAATAATAAATAAATTATTGCAGTATATTTTTTAACCAATACATTATGCTATTTGGAAGGCCACCTTCGTAATGTGAATATTCTTTCATGGCAATATAAGGAGGTAGGTGGCCTTCAAAGTGTTAGAATGCAGTGGAAGCCTCCCAGGCCCTCAAGCCCATGTTGAATAGAAATTGGCCTGGGTTGGGCGGGCCAGCTGGCCTTCCTGCCGCTGTTCATGGCCCGAGGTGCTCGGGTGGTGGGCGCAGGGTGGGCGGGCAGACTGGGCCGAGGGTGAGTGGACCTGCCCCACTGCCAGGCAGGGACATGGGGTGGGGCCCGGGGAAGGGGAGAGAAAAACATGAAATATTTTTGGAATCTGAATAAAATGAGTCTTCCATATTCTGCTAAGTGTCTGGATCAGGTATATTATAAATAACTACTGTAGTGTAGCTCTGAATTTTGAAATGAACAGCAGGAACTGCGCTACTTACGGAACTATGGTATTAGCGTTTTAGCATCTTTTTTCGGAAGAGCTGCAAGAAGTTGTGTTTTCTTGTCCTCCCAACATACTTGAGGTGTTGGTAACAAGTTTTATTTTTCCATTTTAAAGATGAGAAAAATGAAGCTCGGGCTGGTTAAATGACTTGCTCAGCGTCCCATGGTGAGTCCGAGCGGGTGGGGCTCAGGTCCCCGCCGTCTGGCGCTTCTGTCGAGACGTCGGCTTTCCACCCTGGCAGGACCCGGGATGCGTTGCTGCCGTGGAAATTTATTTTATTTTGGATTATCAACTGCATGTTTAAAATGTGCTGTAGACTTTTAAAGTCCATGTTTCTTAAAATTTCTGAAATGTCTAAAATGTGTTTTTAAGAGAACGAGGGTCATACCTGTAGTCTTTATTTTGGTCCCTGTAGATGTTTTCATTACTTGCGAAACCTCTTACACTAAGTCCCAAGGACATTTCTAACAAGTTGTTAATCTCTACACACTCTACAAGGGAGCTTTACTTTGGTGACGACTGGAGGGAAGCAGTCTAGATCGTGCCGGGTGCGCCCGAGGCCCAGCGCCTGCTGTGCGGGGTTGGGAGGGGCAGGCGGAAGGCTGTCCCCAGAGCCGGAGCCACGCACAGTGCAGCCAGGCGGTGTGACCTAGAAATACTGTGACCAAGCTGTGCTAGGTGGAGCCTGCTGCCCTTGCGCCCCGCGGCTCACGTGGGTTTCTCTCTCCTTTCTGTCTGACAGGCCTAGCCGCCCGTGTGGCTCTCACTGTCTCCTGCATGACGGGCGGCGCCCTCCAGCTTTCCTTCTCTCTCCAGTGCTGCCCGCTGTGTCTAGCAGCCCCCTAGGACCTGTCAGAGCCGCACCTCTCTGTGACTGGCCATTCCTGTCTGTCGGTGCTGCTGTCCTTTTGGGGGGTTCTTGGTTTCTGTATACATGTAGCTTTGCCAGATATGTACTTAGTAATATAAACTGTATTAATAAAATCCATTTACTGTGTAATACACAAGTTGAAAAATTAAGAGCGATTAGCTGTTCACTCTGATAACAGGTAGTTAGAAGTGTCACCTAAGGTGTTACTACAATGGCATGACAGTGCCCTCTTGGCACCACTACGCCCCGAGAGTAAGGCATGTGCTGCGCGTGCTCCATGGCACTTAGAGCCCGGGAGCCGCCTGGACCCCGGTCTTCCTAGGATACGCCCCAGTAGCATTGGCTGTGTAGTCTGAGTGTGAAATTCGGGCATTCTGCTTTTCTCGACTAATCTTTAAGTGCTCAGTGATTTGTGTATTTGTGTCTTTCTAACTTCTAATAAACTCACTCCAACTGACCTGTATCTTGGTGTCTGTCTGCTTAGTAGAACTTCTCACCTGTTCCATGGAATGCAGCCTGGCATAGCTTCTAGAAGTAACGGGGAGACTGTTAATCTCACTAAGCAATTCATTCTGAGAATAAACATTGCTGAATACATATTTTCTTCACTCTGTGTTTTTGGTTTTCATGTTCAGATACTGCCAAATATTTTACTTGTTAATGTCTGAATCAATTAAGGTGAAAGCTGGGTACTCTTACCTGCAAGGTGTCTGAGGAATTTTAGTTATTTATATAGAACGAACATTTAATCTTCCAACCACATGGATAACCAACATTTACTGCTACTGTTGTGTAAGATTTACTGACAGAAAGAGTGCATCCGAGTACTACCTTGAAATGAAATTGTGAAAAGGAAGTTGCCTCTGCCCGATCTGAATGTTTTGGGTCCTGTACTGTTACCTGGATCAGATGCCTACATATTTATCAAATGTGGGTTTGACTTTGGTGACATTCCTAGAAGCTGCCTTAACTTTCTTGAGACTGTGTGTGTGGTCTTTTGTCTCAAAACAGCAATATAATTCATTTTCCTTTTGGGATGTAATTACTTTTGTTTGAATGATCTTCCTCATGTTCAGATGTTTTTATAATCATTGGAATATCTTTAATGAACTTAAAAAGGGTAATTTCTATTTAAAGTCTATTATGTACATGGCAAATCGGTGGTTTCCCCGGGGGGTGCTGATGGGCAGGTCAGCCGCGGTGTGAGTTCGTGTCTGCATTCTGCTGTGCCTCTGGGGCGGGAGGGAACCACCTGAGCTTCACGTTTGTTCACGTTTTTTTCAGGATGGCACTGGATCTTTAAAACGCAGTGGTTCCTTTAGCAAACTCCGGGCTTCCATTAGACGCAGCAGTGAGAAGCTGGTTAGGAAGCTGAAGGGAGGAAGTGCACGGGAGAGTGAGCCGAGGAACCCTGGGTAACTATCTCTGCCAGCTGTCCCGACGCGCCTGCACGCGAGCCGTGGCGGGGCCGTTTCTCCTCGCACGGATCTCTCACCCACAGGCTTCAGAAAAGACATTCCAGTTTGGTTCCTGTATTTTAGCAATGGGGAAGTTTAATAGTTTCTATATAACTTTTTCCCAGGATAAGGTGAGAAATAATTGTGAAACTTCTTGTTAGTGGCTAAAAGGGCTGTTAGCTTTAAAAGAAATTTATGGGATTCTTTTATTTTGTTACATGTTCATAGAAAGCCTTAGCAGTGAAATGGGGGAAAATTTAATATCAAAACATTTAGCATTTTAAATTTGTTTATTCTAGATATGCATTATTTATTTTTTTGAATTAGCATTAGTTTAAATCCTTTAAATTTTTAATCTTTTAAAATCAGATGTTAGCTACAACTATATTAAATCTCATACAGATATACAGGGAGAAAAATGGTTTTAAATAGAAAGATCAGGCTGGGTGTGGTGGCTCACACCTGTAATCCCAGCACTGTGGGAGGCCAAGGTGGGAGGATCACTTGAGGCCAGGAGTTCGAGACCAGCCTAGGGTAACACAGTGAGACTTTGTCTCTACAAAAATAAACAAATAAATAGATCACAATTATAGAACTTTATTATTATATGGAGTTTCTTAGGAGATTTTCAAAACCTTAAGTATTCCACATGTTTAAGCAAAGGTTTAAGTCATGGGTTATAGAGTCTTTTGAACAATAGCATTTAAGTTGTCAAAGGAATCTGATTCTTAAGATAGTGTTTGTGTCCGCTGAGGCGAGCCAGAGGGGGGCGTGTCTGAGCGTCTGCTGTGTGCCGGGTCACCTCTGGGGCACTGTTGGGTGCGCTCCTCACGGAAGCGCTCTCTGTCCTTCTGCGTGACTCTGACTTCCTGAATGGTGCCTACTTTTTAAAGACTGAGTTTTTTTTAAACCTCATACTTTAAAAGTGATCCGCTTTAAGTTCTGTGGGAAGAATTCTAATCATCTCAGGACTGTGGAACTGAGTTCCTTTGGAGAATGCATTGGAAATATTACAGTTATGTGCCTTTTCGGTCGTTTTGTTTGTTATTTCGTTTACCAGCTCATTTCTGTACGGGAGTTTTCAGAGCTTCTGAAAACCGCCTTGAAGATCCAGTGTTTGGAGACTGTCTGGGCTTGCAGAAGTTGGTGCAGACTTAGCAGCAGTTTGCCTGTCATGAGACAAACGAACCTTGTTTGATCCCCCTTACTAGGGGAGGATAGGTTACACATTGCCTTGGGTATAGCGCTCTTACTTTAAAATGTTTACAGATTGCCAGAACTAAAATGATAGGTCTGCCTCTTTTTGAATTTTGTAAGATTCTGTGAAACTCCTGGTACAAGATCTGAAGAGTGGCGTGACTGCCGAGTTTCTCTTTCTGTGAAACCTGCTGAGTGGCAGAGACCTGTGTGCCCATTAGGAGGCTGCACACCCTGCCCTTGTGTCCAGGTCCGCACAAGTGGTCTGGGCCGGCAGCCCCGGCACTGTGGAAACTTCTGAGAAAGGCAAATTCTGGAGGCCCACCCAGATCCCCTGGATCAGACGCCTGGGGTGGGGAGGTGGAGCCTCGCAGTCTGTGTCTGAACAGACGCTCCAAAACATGTTTGAGAACTGCTGGAACAGTTGGTAACAATCACTCTTATTTGGGAAGATTTTTCAGTTTTATACATTTTATGGGATGAAATTTCCAAAGTCATTTAGAAAACGTTAGTCCATGCAAAGACGTGTTTATTTCACATCAGTTCGGGTCTGCAGTGTTGCGGCACTGAGTGTATTGGTCACAGTCGGTGCACCAAATGATTCTGAATGCCGTGTGGTTTTTGGTGTTTTTTGAGACAGGGCCTTACTCTGTTGCCTGGGGCAGAGTGCATTGGCAGGATCATAGCTCACTGCAGTCAAGTGATCCTCCTGCCTTAGCCTCCCAAGTGGCTGGTACCACAGGCACATGCCACCTTATCCGGCTAATTTTTCTATTTTTTTTGTAGAGACTGGGCCTCACCTATGTTGCCCAGGCTCAAATTCCTGGGCTTAAGTGATCCTCCCACCTGGGCCTCCCAAAGTGCTGGGATTATAGGTGTGAGCCACTGTGCCTGGCTGAATGCGTAAAATGATGCAATTCAAAAGGATTGAAGAACTGTTGAGTCATATTGTTCTTTGGTCTTGTGAGGAAAAGGGTTGTATAGCTTTCTTAGAAAGAGTTACTTGGCCATTTAAGTGATAGCAAGTTTAATTGAGTATGTCAGAATATTATTTACTTACATGATTTGGTTTGATTTTCATACTTTGTTCCTGAGTGGTTCTTGGTAGAAATAAACTTGTTTGGGACTCTAGCATCGTTTGTACGAGCTTCATTGGGACGCTTTTGTTTTGTCCTGGTTGGGATATTTTGAGGTGAGATTTGCTTGCTGATAAGTAAATTAGGGTCTTTGCTTTTGTTGTAGTTTATTCAGTGAGAAACGGCTGAATGTCTGCCATTTGCCAGGTGCTGTGCTCCTGGGCTGGGACACATGGGCGGGCACCCTGGGCTTTCCATCCCCATGCCAGTGTCCCACATCAGTCTATCCCTGGCTGTGCCGGCCTCAGCCACTGCCCTCGCTCACCTGGATAGTCTGTGCTCATGTTCGCTGTTCATGTTGTCTGCATTTCTTGTTTAGAGTTACAAATCCTGCCGTAAACACTTACAAATAACCCTTAGCATCAGTTACTTTAGCTTCGAAAATCTAAGGTGAGTTTATGTCCAAGGTCATCCATGGTGATGGTAAACATGACAGTGATTTTACAGCTATCCATAATTTCATGTAGGTTATAGGTCATGTGTAGGCTATATTATCAAATATTTTAAAGATAAGTCTATCTAATTAGAGGAAAAAGTGAATATATGTATAAATTCCTGTATTTCTTTAAATGTAGAGCCATGAAATTTGTTTTAAATTTTGGTTTCAAAGTAGAGAAATACTGGCTTTAGAGTTTATGTTACTAATGATAAAATTATTTTTCTTGCTCTTAATATAGAAAGACAGATATATAAATTACAGAATATACTCATACATACATCCGCTCTTAACAGTGAGCTTTGAGTGTCTCTCTTTTAAACGGTCCCTTACAGTGATGAATCTTACATAAGACATAGGGCTCCTTCCTGAAACTCATCAGGCTGAAGGCAGAGCCTCTCAGCTCTTAGGGGAGCCAGTGTTAAAAAGTGCAAGTGTAATGACACTTTGAGTCTCCAAATGATCCTTTAAAACAAGCATTTTGCCATGAAAGATGCAGAGAAACTGCTTTTATCTCCTAGACGCTCAACAGAATGAGGCCTAGGACTTCCATGGTAAGGACTGGGTGGTAGCCCCGTCCGAGCAAGACGAAGGCCACTTCCCCCAGGGGCAGTCCTGAGGATCCCCCCAGTAGTGACAGAGGCCTTTGAGGGGACAGCTTTGCGTGTATTTCCCATTGCTGGCTGACCAACGTGCTGATCCATTTGTCCTTGCATGTCCGTGTCGGGGTTGCAGCATGAAGCGCGCCAGCTCTCTGAATGTTCTTAACGCGGGTGGCAAGGCCGCTGAGGACCGATTCCAAGTAAGGAGCCTACCCCGCCCGGGTCACGTCCCGGGCTGCTGGGCTGCGGCGCAGGTCTGCTGCAGACCCGCCTGGCCGCCACTGCTGTTCAGCAGAGCACTGCGGACGTTCCGGTGTTTCTGTTCTTAGACAGATCGTCTAACGGCATCGTAACGTTCTGCATAACTGTCAGTTATGCGCATCGTGGGAGTGTCACCCTGAACATTCTCACTGTATTATCATAGTTATGATATAATGATCTTTAAAATAGTTTGACCTAATTAATTTATTGTTAAAGTAATACCAAAGCTTGACCAGTTATTAATTTATATGATTTTAGCCTCTAATAAGTTTATAACTAATTCATTGTCTAGCTAAGCTATAGTTCAGTGTTTTAAAACTATTCAAAACTTTACTGACATAGTGACTCAATACAATGTCACTTTGACACTAAAATCATTAGCACTTGGTCAGGGTGTCCAAGTCTTACACAAACCTGTCATGTTTTATCTGTTTCCCCTTCGTGTGCTGGAGTTTGGCATCCCTTCTCCAGCACAGAGCTTCAGTCCACTTTCCTTCCAACACCTGTGTGGCTGCCGGGGCGTGGCCAGCCCTGCCCTGTTTCTCGGGTGCTCTGAGCAGACTCGAGCTGCTGGGACTTGGCAGTCACTACCCCTGTGCTGGTACTTAGAGTGTGTGACGGTGGCCACGCTTCCCGTCTCCTGCCAGTCGCCCAGGTCCAGTTACTAAAACGTAGGCTGGTTGTCGACAGAACTGGGCCTCCCAGACAGGCTGCCCTGCCCTCCCCCACCTGTCTCCCCAGCACCCTTGGGAGGCTGTTCACCAGGCCTCTGGGTGGCAGCTAAGGAGCAGGTAGGATGCTGGCAGTTTGCTTGAGGCACCTCCAGCAATGACAGGAAAAGAAGGTCTTTTTGTTTTACAAAGGCCGGGAGGTGACCCAGCCTTACACGACGTCTCGGTGTTCCCACGTGCACACTGAGCACCGGGACCCTGTGCGCTGAGTTACGCAGCTAGGGTTGCTAGGCTGAGAGACTTGAATCTGGCATCGTTTGAAGTAGTGGTTAAGTATAATTTTTCCATTTGTTTTTTCACACAGGAACGAAATAATTGTCTGGCAGACTCGAGAACTCTGAGTGCCAGCCACACTGACCTGGCCCAGTGAGGGCTGGGCAGAGTAGGTAACCCCGAGTCTCACGGAGCCCTGAGGCCCTCCCAGCTCTGCGCGCCCCTCCCGCTGTGCCAGGCTGCACTCCTTGGTGGGCAGGGCTTCTTTTTCTAGATAGTGACGTCCACCCACCTCTGGAGGCCTCCTTTTAAAAAGACCCAGGGCACCTGTGCCCCAGAATTCTGTTAGTGACTGAGAGCCGCTGAGACCTGTGGGGCCAGCAGGGCACAGCCCAGGGAGGCAGATGTGGGCTGGCATTGGCTTCAGCACCTTTGGACTCGGCCACTGCTCACGGACATTGCTGTGCCTGCCGCCTGCCACCTTTTTGCCTTGACGCCAAACTCTATTTTAAATTTTGATATTGTAATAAGGCTGTACATTAAGAATCTGAAACTTAAAGTGCATCATTTTCAAATGATAAGCACTAGTGATCTGACCTGCAGCAGTAGCAAAGCCTTTAAGAGTTTAGGGCACAGTGGTCGTAAGAAATGAGAAATGAGTCACTTCCTCCAGGGGCTTCACTTCTAGATCTCTGTTTCTGAAGCCACAGTGTCTGTGGCCTTGGGCGCTTGCTGGGCGTGTGGCTCTGCTGGGAGCATCTGGGTCCCATCCCACCTCTTTTGAGCAGGTTTTCTCTCTCCAGGTGGTCCCTGCACACCAAACACTTAGGGCATGTGTTTTATTTTTTAAGAGCTTTTTCTTCATAGAGTTAAGAACACAGGGTGGAGTTTGACAGGAACGTGAAAATCCACCCGAAGGCATGGTTTCTTGGTAGCCTATAAGCCCCTCCAGCCTGTAAGCTCAGGGAATGCACAGATGACCAGCTCGTTCCCGATGAGAGCAACCCTCGAGGACCGTGTCCGCAGCTGGAACACTGAGACGCAGCCTTTGGGCTCGAAGGGAGCATCTGAAGTCCTGGCCAGTGGTCAGTCTGTGAAACCCAGAGCGTCCGTGGACTGTCAGGTGTTCATTGTCACCTTATCAGCACAGGCGGTGGCCCAGGGAAGGCACCTCTTTGCGTCTGCTCCCAGCTCCCCGGGGGCGCGTGGCCCGGGCTGTGTGGACGTGGGGCTGACGCTGGAATCGGCACCCGGGGTTCTCTTACATGGCCAGACCTTAAAATATCCTTAAAAGTTCTATGTCATTTACTGTTATCTCCTGTCACAAACTGCTGTTTGTGAAAAGACGTTTGTTGCTGGCGGGTGCTCGGCATTGAGGCTGCCCCATGGGTGGACACTGTCGCCAAGTTGGTCACCTTTCGCCATGGCTCCTTTTCTGAGGCTCCTTACTCTCATTTTGGCAGCTTCTAATAGATGAGGAATTTATTTTCTTAATGCTCTCTATAGGTGTTTAGAAAAATTTAGTGGCTTGTGAGAAGCCGTCTGAATCAAGAGAAGGGTAGAGCTGTGTCCCCTCCCTGATACCGCGGCTCCCAGAGATCCCAGCGTAGGACGCTGTGGGTGGCTTGGGACAGTCAGGAGGGGCCGAGGGGCTCCCTTGCCAGCCCCCAGAAGTCTCTTCTCCGGGCGAGAGAGCCGAGGCAGTATTTGAAACCCGGACCGTTTCCCTTAGCGACAGTTCTCTCTGGAGAGACAAAGGGCGTTTAGAAAGAACTCGGGCTGCATACAGGGTTGCTGCTGCCGCGGTGGGCCCGGCGCGGCCCTGGCTCAGGGCGCCTTTGCAGCGCTGTGGGAACAGCAGCAGCGCCGAGGGTGAGAGGAGCCAGACCGAAAAGGGAAGCTCGGGTTTCAGAGAGAGCTGCGTGGCAGGCTGCAACTTCTGGGTTCCGAACTTGGGTGACACGATAAAGGACGTGGGTTCTAAGCTGTTTCCAGTCTGGTGGTCTGAGTTCTGACGTCCTGAGAGAAGTGGTGGGCCTGGCCATCCCTCCCGTCTCCTTCTGATTAGGGGACCCCAGTCGAGGGCCGGCACCTGTTTCTTCTGTTTCCGCCACATAAACATAGGTGGGACCAGCGGCAGCCGACGCGGCCTCTGCGCAGCGGTGCCTGCGGGCCCGTGCCGGCTCCAGCGCCCGTGCCCAGGGGAGAGTCTGTCCAGGTGGACGTCCTGGGGAGCCGTGGCCAGTGGCGCAGCTGAGCTGGCTCCCGGCCCCTGGGGGTCTCTGAGGCACAGGCCAGCCCAGGGCAGTGCTTGGTCTCGTGTCTACAGCATTGGAGGAATTCAGATAGTTTTCTGGATTTAAAAATAACCTGTTTGGTTAGAAAGCTGCTAGGAATATTATGTCATTAGAAATTCAGTATTTATAGTAAAATATACTAAATATTGCTAAGGATGTATGTTTACAATTTATAGAATAGATTTTTCCAGTGTTATAACTTTGTGGAATTTTCTTGGAAGGCACGTTGCATATACGAAACTAATATCTGTTAGTTTATCTTTGCACTTATTTTGAGCGATGTGTACCCTATGCTCAGATTTCTGAAAACTGTAACATGGCGCTTAATAGCACTGACCAAAGCAAGGCTGCAGCCAGCTCTCTTTCCGGATTAGCAACACTACACACAGCTGGGTCGGCAGTGTCGGGACTGGCACGTAGACGGCTGTACCTCCTGCTGACAGTTCCCCGACTCTGGGGCCGAACTTCAGTGGTGTTGGTGTGTCATACTGTGGGGACGATGAGGGCCGCAGGTCTGCGGGTGGCCCCGGAGGGAGGGTCTTAGGCCTGAGGACTGGGGCGGGCCAGGGCTCCCCAAGTGGGCTTCTGCTCTGCCCTCCTCAGGGTGACCCGTGCTCCTGGGATGACCTGGAGGCCGACCCCTGCAGACGCGGCTGGCTGTGTGGTGGGGCACCGCTGGGAGGGGGAGTCCCTTCCCCGCCTCGCCCAGGGCAGGTGCCAGCTGTGCTCACAGGCACGAGTCTTCTGTGACGTGTACCTGTCTCGCAGCTGGGGTGTTCTAATTGTTGGTATGACTTGCCTAGAAAAACATTTGGAATTGTTTATATTTACTTACAAAAATAAAATGTTTTATTTTCTGGTGTAAAGTCCCTGCACGTTTGCAGAAAAGCTGTTTTATAAAAATCCAAACCCCCCAAATAACTTGCGGATTAGCAACATTGTACACAGCTGGGTCGGCAGTGTCGGGACTGGCACGTAGACGGCTGTACCTCCTGTTGACAGTCAGTTCCCCGACTCTGGAGCCAAACTTCAGTGGTGTTGATGTGTCTTACTGTGGGGACGACAAGGGCCGCAGCTCGGCGGGTGGCCCTGGAGGGAGGGTCTTAGAAAGGCCTGAGGACCCGGGCGGGACTTCTTGCCATCTTTATGCCAGTGATTAACATTTCTGGGGCCATAGAGAGCCTCGGCAGTCTGATGACGGTGGGCTGCCTGCCCCGGGAGCAGGTGCAGACAGGACGCGTCTACACAGCACAGGAGTGTGCCGACCCAGCACCGGCTCCAGTGAGTGCCCTGAAGGCTGAGCCTGGGGGGCCAGCATCTGCCTCAGGCTTGTAGAATAGTCAAGCCACTGGGCTGCTCTGTGCCTCAGTTTCCCCACCTAACAGCAGGAGTACGGAAACAGTACCTTCTTCAGTAGCGGTGAAGAGAACTTAAGCCAGTGTGGGTAAATTACCGAGCAGGGCCCGCAAAGAGCAAGAATCAGGCGCTGTCACTGCCCTTACTCAGCCCGTTTATTTGCCAGAGGCCTACTGCGTGCCAGGCACCACAGGAGGAGATGGTTACAGCCCTGCCCGAGAAGAGGCCATGCCCCTTGGTGACTGCTGGGCCTCGTGTCTCTGGTCAGATTCCGCGTCTGCAGCCAGATTGTTGCCGGGAGGCCCCTCTTTCTCGCTGGAACGAGGCCTGGCCACAGACATGGGTCCGGGTCTGCCGTGCCCTGCCCGGCGTCCTGCCGCACCCCCACCAGGGTGGACGTTGCCCCGGCCAAGGCTGCACTGGACGTCCAGAACCCTGGGGCCAGGCTCGGGGGGCACTGAGGACACACAGGACGCAGCCTTCGGTTACATGTCAGATCCTCTTTGCACACGCCAGTTTCCCAGCAGAGCCCCGAGGCTGCCTACGCAGCCTGGTCCCGTGGTGTCGGTGGCTCGGGTGACACACAAGTCCAGCCAGTCCCACTCCCACCCCCTGCTGGACTTGCAGCCCGAGGGCAGCTTGATGCACCAAGCTCAGGTCTTAGGGGTGGGGTGTCTGCCTTTGGGGAACCAGCTCACTGCAGCCCGCTGTGGCCTGAGCAGTAGGGTGGGCTTTGGGACGGGGACTGAGGACCACCCTGCCTGGAGGAGGGGAGGCCGCTTTGGGCAGGGCCCCAGGCCCAGGACAGGCTTTGCCCCGGCTCCTGGTTGGTGTTAATGTGGAGCGCAGAGCCGGGGCAGGAGGAAGCCACAGCGGACACCCCGGTTGCCGGCCCTAGTGCATCACCCATCCCCAGGGGCTGGCTAGGCCACGCGGGAACCAGCACCAAGGCCCAGCAGGCCGGGCTACGGGGAGAGCACCCGTGCCAGGTGGAAAAGGAGGGCATGAGCTAGGGGCCATGCCAGGCCCACGCAGGCTCTGCCCCTGGGGAGTCTCAGGCCTGGCTGGGCTGTTGTGTAGCCACCACCGTGTCAGCGGGACTCAGTCCCAGGTGTCCCTCGCACCCCTTCCGCGTTGACCGTGTAGGAACACGAGGAGGAAGGCAGGTGGGGGGCGAAGAGCACCCGGAGGGTCCGGCTGGCCGGGCCATGGGTGGCCTCCTCGTCCCGGAGCCGGTCCGCCATCAGTCTCACAAGGAGCTGGTTGGCCCAAGTGATGCCGAGGGCTGGACAGACACGCTCGTCCCAGGAGCTGAGAAACAGAGAACAGGCCGGAAGCCCATGACACCCGGCAGCCTCACACCCTCGCACTAAAGTGCACCCGAGACGCAGCCACACTCACCCTGGCGGCCTGGGCCCCGCACCCTGCTCCTGCACCACCTCCGTCACCTGCAAGATCCAAATCTGGGTCAGCTACAGCAGCTGAGGGTTTTCCTGAAGTTAACGCATTAGTAACACAAGAAGGCACGAGCTACCGCCCACCCACACTGGCTCTGCTTCCCCTGGGTCCTTGCCCGGCCCACCTGGTTGACGCACAGCACAGGGCTCTGGAAGGTGCAGCTCAGCCGGCGCAGTGTGGCCCCCAGTGACTGCAGACGCCTGGCCCTGGGAGCCGAGGCCTGGCTGTCAAATTCACAGCGGAACGGAGCTGCCACAGAATCGATGACCACCAGGCGGGCCATGCCCCGAGACAGCAGGATGGGGACCTTCTCACTCACACACTCCAACAAGGTGTCCTGTGGCACGAGGGGACAGCAGTCACCCCAATTGTGGCCCACAGCCTTCCAACACAGCCCTGCCTGCTGCTTCCTGCCCAGCTGGGGCCGATGCTGCAGCTGAGCCCAGCTTGTACTTTGGTGGCCCACTGCTACAGCCCTCTTTGTGTCCTTACGGGTCTGGCCCCTCTTCACCTTATGCTGTAGTCCCCCCTCGGGTCAGCACAATGGCTAGTCCCTTCCTTCAGTAGCCCCACACCAGGTGCTGAGACCGCGTGGACTCAGCCACATCTCCAAGGCCAACCTGTGAGTGCCAGGGGCGACTGGGTGGTGTCCTCCTCAGGCCGCTCTAGAGCAGGCCCTGTGGCCACTCAGCGAGGCAGGGGCCAAATGCCCTTCAAGCTGTCACCCAGGCCAGTCAGGATAGCCTGCTTCTGGAGTGGGGCGCGGTAGCGCCCCAAGTGCACAGGGGCGAGGCTGCACCCGGGCTGGGCTGCGATGGAGACACCCCGGGCCAGCCCCTCCCTTTCCCCAAGGCCTCGGCCCTGTGTCCTAAGCAGCTCTGGCCTGGCGAGGGGTGGAAACACTTCCTGGGGAGGGCAGGTGTCCTCAGGCCTCTCTTTTGGAGCCCTGTGCCCTGTAGGTGCCAGGGCTGGCAGCCATGGGCTTGGCTGGGCCAGCCTCTGCCTGCAGAGCTGGGGCTGCCCAGGCGGTGGGGAAGGAGCACGTGGTAGGTCGGACGGCTGCTCTTCCGCACCGAACTGGACAGGACTCAGTCCTCTTAGGCCTTGCCAGTGGCTCTGCGGCCATACATGGGGGCTGGGCAGGCCTGGGGCAGACACTGGGGTGGGTGAGGGGCCCCACGCTGCCCCTTGAGTGCAGGGCCGACAACCAAGTGCTGGCCGCGTGTCTGGACTCGGGAGACGGTGGAAGGTGTGCTGCCAGCCCCGAAGTGAGACGTGTCTGTGCTTTGTCTCCAGGGCGTCCCCGGCAGACCCTCTCTCTGTGGAGAACGACAGCGGCGGCAGCAGCCTGGAAGACGCTTCCGCTAACGTGAGCTCTGTCCCCCTACGACCCCGGGGCAGGCTGAGTGGGCGTGGGGGGCCAGGGAGGGATTTAGGGTACTGGGTCTCCAGAGGGGCCTGGCTCGGAGACCCCATCCTCCCACGGGGCCTGAGGAGGCGGAAGGGGGACAGGGTGGCCCAGGCCCTGATTATGCAGAAGCAGGGGCTCCGTGTCCACACCCTGGCCTCCTCGCTTCCAGGTGCAGGCCCCTGGCGTTCCAGGGAGCAGACAACAAGGACCTGGGGTCCCCCACGATCTTGGCCCCAGGGAGGCTACCACCCAGCAATTCCTACTTTTCTAGGCAGGTTTGGGGCGCAGGGCGCCCCCAGCAAGCTGGTTCTAGAACAAGATTTAGGAACACCGCTGTGGGGTCTCTGCCACCTGTCCTGACCTTCGGTCTTCTCTTGCAGTGACCCCTGCCTGGCCTGCTCCAGGACGAAGCTGCTGTGCAGCCCACGGAGCTGCCCCGGGACAGCCAGGGCGAGGCTGGGAGGGCCTCCGGCTGGAGCCTGCAGCCCTAACGCCACTCTCCCCGCCCACCTGCGTGCCACCCTCAACCGCCCCAGCAGGGAGGCCTGCAAGTGAGGCTGGCCCCCGGGTCTGTTGTGGACCTGCTGGGCCTCCGAGGGCCACTTCCCCGCATTGTGTGTGATATGTATTTTATTGTAAATTTTTTTTAAATTAAAAGTTTATATGTCTTATGCTTTACTTGAAAGTTATAACCACTCTTAAAAGCGGGGGAGGCCGGGCAGACGGACGCGGTGGCTCACGCTTGTAATCCTAGCACTCTGGGAGGGCGAGGCAGGCGGATCGCTCGAGCTCAGGAGTTCGAGACCAGCCTGGGCAAGAGTGAGACCCGTCTCTTAAAAAAAAATTGGGGGAGGCCTAAGCAGGAGCCCCAGGTCAGCAGCACGGTGGGCGCCCCACGCACACGGCACTACTTCCTCATTTACTCCTGACGTAAGGGTCCTTCCTGAACTTCCGGTTGAAAAGCTGCTTCCTCGGCCGCTCCTGCCCGGCTCCCCAGCTGTGGCCGTGGGACCCTGTGGGGGGGGTCCCTTCAAGTGCCCCCTTGGGGACCAGGTGACAGTACCCCGCTTGTGGAGCCCGGGCCCCCGAGAGGGCAGACGCGCCTCAGGCAGGAGGGACACTCCCCGAGGCCTCCGCCCCAGAGGAGCCCTGCCGCCCGCCCCGGGGTGTCCCGCCGTGTCCACACGGGAGAGCTCACTCCTGCCTGGCCCGCGGGCACCTCTGGCCGGGTCCCTGGCGCTCCGCCATGCTGAACCTCAGTCGGCCGCCCTGCACGGCCCTGTGAGAACAGGCTCGGCGGAGGCTCCGCTAGGCCAGCTCGGCGAGAAGCCGCTGGGTCTGACCGGGCTCTCCGCCCAGGGGCGTCTGATCCCCGCCCCTCCGCGGCGCCCACCTGGCGCCCACCTGCTCCTCGGCTGGAAACGGAACCACCGCCACAGCCCCACGGCGTCTGCACCACCCGCCTTCACGGAGTCGCTGAGTTTTTCTGACACTTCCCTTCAGCGCAGGGCGCGACCGACAGCGGGACACTCACCACATCGGCCGCGTGCTCCACGAAGATCTGGCTGCCGAATCTGATGTTCCGGACCACCTCCCCGGGGACGTCCGCGCGCAGCTGCTGCTGCCGCGCGATGAGCTGCTGCAGCCGCTTGTCGGGGAAGGCGTCCTCCGTGCAGATGTAGACGGCCCCTGGGAAGCCCGCGCGCCCTGTGCCCAGAGGGTCTGACACGGCCTGTGGCTGCCACGCAAACTAATTGCAACGCCATCTCTCTGCCCTACAGGGTCCCCGCCTCCGCCCGAGGAGGGGCAGGCTGCTGCCGGTTCTCACTCTCTCACCTGCCGCCACCCTGCCTGCCAGGCAGCCCCTGGGAAACACGGCTGGGCCTCCACCCCTGCCCCCAGCTGGGTGCTGGGCCTGTGCTGGGCCAGAATGCCACGTGGCCGCCTCTCTGGGCCAACCCTGCCTCTTCATCCCACCACCCTTTTTTTCCCTCATCCCCCTGCCCCTGTCACTGGGCAGGGGGGCAAGTGGAAGTATGGGGCCAGCAGACTTGCACACAGAGGCACCCTCAACGCTCCACCGAGCAGATGTCCCCTCTATTCCACTCCAAGGCTCCCCTACAGCCCAGGTTGTGGTAATACCTATGTCTTTTTCCCTGCAATGTGAAAAGCCAATAATGACCAACTTAGTCACCTGGAGCCTCCACGCCCCCGGGGGCAACACGCCAGCCTGGCCAGAGCCTGCACCACAGAATGCGCTGAGAGTCCCACAGCCGCAAAGGGCCAGGGGCCACCTGAGACAAACCCTTACATCTGTGAGCAACGATTTTCAACAGATACCAGAACAATTCATTGGGGAAAGAATACCTTTTCAACAAATGGTGTTGGGACAACTGAATATCCATATACAAAAGGATGAAATTGGACCCTTAACCTCACACCATAAACAAAAATTAAACCAAAATGGATCAAATATGAGAGCTAAAACTATAAAACTTAGAAGAAAATATACAGGTAAGTTTTAATGACTTTAGATTAGGCAGTGGTTACGATACAACTTCAAAAGCACAAGTAACCAAGGAAAAATAAATTAGATTTCCTAAAAATGAAAAATGTTTGTGCTTCAAAGAATGCTATCAAGAAAATGAAAAGACAACCCAAAGAAAGACTGCTAATCATGTAGGGATTTGTATCCAGGATATATAAAAAAATTTTATAACTCAAAATGGGCAAAGGATCTAACAGACATTTTTTCCAAAGAAGGCACAGGAATGGCCAATATGCAAAAGAAAAGATGCTCAACAGCATTAATGATCAGGGAAATGCAAATTTGAACTACAATGAAATTCCATTTCACACCCACTAGTGTGGCTAAGATAAAAAAAGACAAGAGTTGGTGAGGATGTGGAGAAATGGGAGCCTTCACACGTTGCTGTGGGAATGTAAAATGGCACAGCCGGGTGGAAGAGTCTGGCAGTTCCTCAAAAAGTTAAACATAGAATCACCACATGACCCAGCAGTTCCACTTGCAGATATATGCATGTAAACCTAGAGGAATGCCATAAGCGTGTGTCCACTTAACGCGAGCACGTGAGCGCTCACAGCAGCAGCGCTCACGCCCACCCACCGCTGAGCGCGGAAACATGAAGTTCCGACACGTGCTGCAACATGAACCTTGGCCACACTATGCCAAGTGGAAGGAGCCAGTCACAAAAGGTCACAGTAATACTGTGATTCCACTTAGGTGAAGTGTCAGCAGAGACGAAGTACAGCGGCGGCTGCCGGGAAGAGCGGGAGTGCGGGCTAATGGGTAGGGGCTTCTTTTTGGGGTGATGAAAATGTTCTGGAATTGGATCGTGGTGGTGGCTGTACAACCTTATGAATATGCTAGAAACCACTGAACTGTACATTTTAAGAGGGAATTTTTATGGCATGTTAATTACATTTCAACTAAAAAACCCAAAAAATGAGGAGAGCCGTGAAGCTCTCCCCACTGAAACTCTGTTCACACGGAGTTCACGAGCGAGATGGGAATCCCGTGGCAACACCACCAAGTTTTACAAAAACTAAGGAGCTACTAAGAAACATGCTCACTCTGCTTGTGGTTCACATCTTGAAAAACTTCTTGAAGTTTTAACCCTTGAGAGACCGGAGCAGCCAGGCTTTGGAAGCCTCCCTTGGGACACGAGCGTGCCTGGTCCAGGAGTGCGAGGTCCCGGCCAGCCCCACTGTGCCCAGGCTGCAGACCACACTCCTCCCCGAAAGGACACCCGCTGTGTCTTTCCTCCTGCACGTCTGGCTCTGTGGGCTGCAAGTGCACGGCCATGGGGTCCACCTGCCCTCTCGCTCGCCCAGCCTCCCTGCCCTAATGGAAGGAGGGCAGCAAAGCAGCTGCAAGGAGGAAGGTGGGAATGGTGCCCAGGAGCAGCCAGTAGTGACCATCCTTGATGGGAAGCTGCCCAAACAGAGTGGGCGCCCAGCCCCCAGCCTCCAGGGAAGGCGGCCACTCACCGGCCTCCAGGCCTCCGTGCCGCCGCGGGAACTGCACAGCCAGGCAGAGCTGCAGCGCCAGCTGGGTCTTCCCCACGGAGCTGCGGCCAGCCAGCTCGGTGATGCCCGCCAGGGGCAGGCCGCCGCGGAGGAGCCCGTCCAGGACCGGGCAGCCGAGGCTCAGGCGCTGGTGCTGCTCGGGGAACCTCTCCTTCTGCCGGTGCAGGTGCAGCGCTGCGGGGCGGGGGTGGTGTCAGGCGGGGCGGGGGTGGTGTCAGGCGCGGCTCTCCTCCGAGACCTCCAGCCTGTGGTGGGCTGGGGGCTGTGGGAGGCGCTGGCCGCCTTCCCCGTGTGGCCAGAGGACAGGCGACTGTGGTCACGGGGTGGCCAGGGTGCCGAGGGCAGGGAGGAGGCTTAGATTTCTCAGCAGTTGCCAGGGAAGGATCCACCCACGTGTTCTCCTGAGGAAGGGCGGTGTGCTGCAGGGTGCCGGGGCCCGAGCTGGACAGCTGCCAGCCACTGCCACAGCAGTCCCAGATTTAAGGTGATCCACAGGGACCTAGGGCAGGAGGACCCCGTGTTGCCACGCAGGGCTTGCTCAGGCGCGGGATGGAAAACCTGCCTGGCCAGGCATGTGGGGATCGCTGGGACCCAGCAGCCAGGACTCCCTGAGAAGGGAACAGGCCACCCCTCCCCCACCTGCAGGCCTGGGGGCCACCTGCCAGGAGGGCTGAAACCAGGGTTTCCTGCATATGGTGGGGGGACTACAGTCAGGTCCCTCTGCTGCCTCAGGCCTCTCTGGCCAGGAGCCCATCCCAGCTGCTGTACCTCGGGTGCCACTGTCCTGTCTTCCGCCTCCTGCAGGCAGGCCGGAGGGCTCTCGCTCCCACTGACTGCCAACGCCCCTGCCTCCTGTGCCCCCACCTCATCCCTTCTCCTGTGGCCCAAGGAGCAAGGGCCCCTGAGGCTCTGCAGCCCTTCCGTGTCCCCCAAAGCGTCCTCCAATCTGACACTGTGATGACGGCCCATGGTAGAATACAAGTGAGACCAGAACTCCTGCACAGCGAGGCCATTCCCTGGTGGAGTCTTAACGGCCCCACACCCTGCAGCGTGTGGAATACGATGACAGACCCCATGGCAGCGAAACCCCAGGCCCTGGCCAGCAGTGACATTCTCGTGCCCACCTGTGAGGACGCTGCCTCCCCGCAGGTGTAAGGAGGCCGCTCTCAGCACGCGCCGGACGTCGAGGGTGGACAGGGCGGTCACTCTCTGCAGGTCTGGTCCAGAGAAGTGCAGGACCTCCTTCACCGACCTCAGTCTGGCTGAAATTACAGACGGCGTTCAGGAAAAACACTCCAGGGCACAAGGCAGCACAGCAGGGACAGAGGTGCTTCGTAAGAGCACGGTGACACCAGCACGGAGGTTTCCGCCGCCCGCCCGCTGCCCAGCAAGGCCAGAGGCCGAGCCGTGGGGAGGGCGCCTGTGCGGGATCCACACAGACGCCACCATGGGGGGCGGGGGGCGCTGGAGCGAGCACATGGGGTCAGCAGGCCGGTGGCTCAGAGGCAGAGGTCCAAGGTCCTCAGGACTGCTATTTTTGACAGGAAGGTAAATAATTAATTTTGGGCCTGGATAAATGTATCACTTTCTAATTTCAAACTAGTAGAAAGAAAAAAAAAATGTTGCAAACACATCCAGCCAACCCAGAAGGTGGGGAGAAAGAACTCGGCACCCCAGGGCCTAAGGTAAGGTGGTGTCCAAACCCAGACCTGCCAGAAAGGCCCCAGGAGGCGACAGAAGGCACCAGTTAGAGAGGGAGTGTCACACCGGACACGACCACTGATAAGCTCTTTGAAGAAGCTACACAGAAAACATCAGGTGCGGAAAGGGTGGGAGTCAAAGCTCAGGCAGGAGCTGTGGAGCCAGCAAAGCGCCCTCACATGTTCACTCAAGGAGGAAGGTTCTGTCAGGCGCCAAGCACTTGGCCTGGGACTGGACGGAGCCTCCTGTCAGCCTCCAGGCCCAGCCCTCTTCACAGCCGGAGGTCTGGGGGCGTTTCTGGAAGAGTTTGTTTTCTGAGAAGAGACACAGGTGAAAAAGGAGTCCCCGCAGAGTCTGTCCCCCTGCTCTGTCCCGGGTTGCAGGCATCGTGTCTGCAGTGTGGCAGCCACTCTGTGATCCTGAGGCTGGATAACAAAACAACAGGCAAGGACAGAGGAACAGCACAGTGTCCCTGCCCCGGTCACCACCTGCTGCACCTGCACCTGTACTCAGGGTTCCTCGCTCTCCTAGTGCTCAGGCGTCCCCAGGAGATGGACAACAGCCTGCAAGAGGGGCCGGGGTAGGGCCTGGGATGGAGCAGCAGGAAGACACTGCTGCTCAGGGCAGGTGAGCCTCCGACCCTCTGAGCACTTGGGGAAGGGCCAGTGGTGCCACACAGGCCCACTGGAGGATGCAGGAACATCCATGCGAACTACACGGAACACTTAGCAGGAAGCGAAGAGGCAACTACTAACTCTGGGCGAAAAGAGATGCTACCAGAAAGAAAACAGTTCCCTGCCCCCTCCACACCAGGCTGGCCCAGGGCCCAGTCACACCCCTGACGTGACAAATGGCACCAACCATCAAACACGGGAATATAAGCACAGTATCGAGGAGCCCACATGTAAGCATCTTTAAATCACTAAAAGACTCTTAAGTGGTTCCATTTCACTTCTCAGACAATATGCATGTATTACTTTGATAAAAATAAAATTAACTATAGACAACTGGAAAACCCGCAGCATGTCCCAGCACCCGTGCAGTCAGGACCAGGTGACCTGCAGGGACGTGTCAGCAAAGGGAGGCAGTCTCAGGCATGGACAGCCAGCGTTTTGTTAACTTGCATTATATAAAGTGTACATGCACATCCACACATCTTACATCAAGTTCCTATATAAATATAAACAAATATACCTTTCTTGATAGCAGCAATAATTCTGGGGTTCAGGTCCAATAGATCCAAATCCATTTCTTCAACAGGTTGACTACCAAATTCCGAGGTGCTTGCCCACAAGTCAAACCGCCTGCGGGAGGCCACGTGCCAGAGAAGTGAGGGTGACTGCCGGGAAGCGGTGTCGCTCTCCACGGGCCGTCCTCACCGTCAGGGCCACCTCTCACGGGAGGTGGGAGACTTCACTGCTCCGAGAACACCGGCTCTGTTAGAGTGATCTACCTCCAAGAATTATCTGGTGATTTAAAAACCTGGGCTCATTCCAGACACTGATGTAGCTTAAAAGATGCCCCCAGCCCACCAGCATTTTGAAGGTCAAGACCATGAGGATTCGTCCCCACAGGGTTTACTCAGCCATGAAGAGAAATGATTAATGTCCTTCGAAGCAACTTGGAGGGAGCTGGAGACCATTAGCTGAAGTGACATATCTCAGGAACAGAAAAACAAACACCACGTGTGCTCTCTAGTAATTTGGAGCTGATCGGTGGGCACAGAGAGAAGTCAAGTCATTGGAAATCAAGAAGAGGGAGGGGAGGGGCAAAAACCTACCTAACAGGTACAATGAACACTATTTGGTGACAGGCACACTCACAGCCGTGTCTTAGGCATCATAGAAGTAATCCATGTAACAAAAACATTTGTACCCCCTTCAAATTTTGAAATTAAAAAAAAAGAAAAAAGAAGGTGTTAGAAATACACCCTCGTCCTGGCGTCCAGGTGAGCCTGCCTGACTCTCTCCTTGGATGTCTCCTGGGATGGGGACAATATATACAGCCCCAGGTCTACTCATACGGGGCCAGTCAACTGAAGTATTTTTTGCATTTTCTAGTTTAGCTTCCCTTAAATATGTTTCCATGAGGATTCTGGAAAGAGTAAAAGAAGTGAGCTTGGGATTTTGCAGTATGCTCAGGGGATCGGAGCCTCAGCAGCCACCAAGCTATTCCAGCACACAAAGGACGACTGTCCCACAGAGCTGGAGGCCATGTGGGCGGCCCCTCCCAGGAAGGGGAGCCCCTTCCACAGCCTGAGGCCAACCCAGCCAGTGAAGAAACGCTTTTCTCCCCACAGCCAGCCAAGGGACTCAGCCCAGGGTCATAGGAGCCCTTTCCAACTGGCCGCTCTGTTCCCCCAAACAGCCGGGCCAGGAACACAGAGTGTGTGCCAGGAAACGCTACGGCCAGCAGCCTCGAGGGCCGAGGTCAGGGTCAGTGTCCTCCAGGGAGGCCCAGCACTCTCAGCTACAACTCAGCTGATGGAAGATGAGGCCACTCTGGACTCTGAGGCGTCCCCTTGCAATGCTAGAAGGTGACATGGGCCTGAACGATATACTGGTTTTGAAGCCGCAGGAACCAGGTCACTTGCATTCCTACATTCTCACAGTCAGGCCTGGCACCAGCAAAGCTGAGACGTGGAGAAGGGACAATAGAAGGGACTCCAGGCTGAGGACAGGGCACAGGGACAGGAAAGAAGGTAGGGCGCTCCTGGCACCACTGTGCCCCGTTAACCACGTCTTGGCCTGGAGCAAGGAGAGGGCGGACAGGAACAGCCCAGGCCGGAGAGGAGCCGCCCTGTTGGGCTGGGCACAGGCCAACAGGGAGGCGGGATTTTTAACTAGCTCCAAAAGTGCTGACAGAGCTGGCCAGCCTGAGGAAGTCACATTCCTGAGGGCAGAGAACAACTAAAAAAGAGAAAATATCACCTCCAGGAAACACACTATGGAGTCAAAAGGGAAGCGGCCAGGCCCCACCTGGCCGAGCAGGGGTGTTTTTTTCAAAACCCTGAGGACAGGAAGAGGTCTGGGGCAGCAGCACTCAGGGGACCCTGGCACACCCGAGGTACCACCCAAAACACAGCCCCTGGGCAACAAACAAATCCCCAGTCTGCTCTCACCTGGGCTGTGTGACTGCAAAGAGGCCGCCAGCTGTGGGTTCTGCCAAGCAGCTGCTGGAGGGCCCACGGCTGCCACACCTCCAGCTCTCTGCCGGTACCTGGAAGCAGAGTGACCGGTGACTGATGCCAGCTTCCCTGCCTGACCAAGTCAAGCTCCTGAACTTTCTCTTAGGCCCATATGTGCACGTCCTTGTAAAATCCAGTTTCAATCTAGCGAGAACTCAACGCCCCTCTCTGTATCTGGTCACCTTCGTGTCTGACCCGTTCCCCACCCGCCTGGGGGTCTGATCCCCCGGCTGCCTCCAGCCAGAATCTTGTTGGGTCAGTTCAGCCACAAGCCCCCGCCCCTGCTGTTCTCTCCTAGTAACTAATTTCCACCCAGTGACCCCCACCCTGCTCCTTGGCTATAAACCGCACTTGGCCCTCCCATGCTCGGAGTGAGCCTGGTCTCTCCCCCGCTGCAGGAGCCCGTCGCCGTGGTCCCAGTGCCCACCGCGACGGTCCTGATGAAGTCTGCCCCGCTGTGCCATAACGGGGGTCACCGAATAGCTTTTTTCTTGAACAGTGGACACCTGCTATGCCCCAGCCACTGGCCCTCGGGCTTGAGGGACAGCCCCACTGGGCTGCCCTGTCCTCCCGCCCTGTGAGGGGGCGCCCCATAGCAGGCAGGGGACAGGCCCCAGACACACCAGCGTCCTCCTGGCACTGAGCTAAGACACGGTTTCCGGAGAGAGCTGGCACCATGCGCCGCTAGGAGAGTGGGGACGCAGCACCAGCACCGGCTGCCGGGCCGCGCGCGAGACCCGGGCCGCGGTCTCCGCCTGGAGCCTTCCCCAGCCCGTGGCCCTCGCTCTGCCGTCCCTTCCGACCGAGCTCGGCAGGGTCCCAATCCGGGACCCGGGGCTGGTAGGCGGGAGCGGGGATAATAAAGGCCCCGTCGCCTTCCTACCCTCGCTAGGCCTCCGCTCCGCCCACGGCCGCCCCGACCCCCGAGCCCGCCCGGCTCCGCCATCCAGGGGCCGCCAGGACCGGCGCGCTCACCTCCTGCGCGCCTCGCTCCTCTTCGCGCCATCCCGCCTCTCAGCCTCCTCTTCCAATGAGCGCCGGCGCCCTGCACTGGCTACGCCAATTAGAGGCGAAGCGGCGTCTATATGGCTAACTAACTGACCAATCCAAAGTCTCAATCGCTCCGAGAGAGGTGGAGCGTCTCCGGGCCGGCCCTCACGGCCGATTGGTGATCGACGGCAGGGTGGCGGGGGCGGCGCCCTTGCTCGGATTGGAGAGGGCCGCAATGGGGCGGAACCGGAGCTCCGATTGGCCCTCGCTCCGGGGCGGGCTTACCGATTGGGCGCAGGCGCTGTCATCCGCGCGCGGGGCGGGGCGGGGCGGGGCGGGGCCGGGCGGGCGGCACCACCCAGCTGGGTGAGGGGCCCGGGTGCGGGGCTGCGAGCGAGCGGCTGAAGCGCCGTCATGTCCTCGGGGGTGGCCGCGCGCCGCGACGCCAAGAAGCTGGTGCGCTCCCCCAGCGGGCTGCGCATGGTGCCGGAGCACCGCGCCTTCGGGAGCCCGTTCGGCCTGGAGGAGCCGCAGTGGGTCCCGGACAAGGAGGTACGTGGCCGCCCGCCCTGCCCCGGCCCGGCCTCCCCGCCGCCCTGCCCCGCCCGGGCTCCCCGACTCCCGCCGGCGTCCCGCCCCTGCCGCCTCCCCGGCGCCCCCTTCCCCAGCCGCGCTGGCCTGCCGCCCCCCGAGCGCCCCAGGCTTGCGCCGGTTCCCCAGAATCGCTGCTCTGGCCCCTCCGCCCTGCTGGGGAAAGGGGCGTCCGCGGGGCCCCCGGGCTTGAGCCGGGCTTTCCGGACGGGAGCGGGAGGTGCGCGTCCTGCACCTTCCCAGGTGAGACTCACTTCCCGCAGCTCGGTTCTGGGCGCGTCCTCGCTGAACTAGCCACGCACCTTTCCTCGCCGCCTGGCGGTGCGGTGAAGGGTAAGAGGCGTAACGCCGTAGGCATACTCTGCGCTGCGGAACTGCGTGCTCGCAGTGGTGAAGATGGTAGACTTAGAGTATTTTACCAAAATTAAAAAAAAAATTAGAGTAAAAAGTGATTTTAGAAAGGTAACAACGTGACTCGTGTAGATTTAATGAACGCGTTGTACCTGTTGAGTTCACTCGCGCAGTGAGGGAGCAGGTGTCAGGACAGGTTGGAGAAGTCGGAACAGCAGGAGCCGACGGGGGTTGAGTGGGGGGTGGGGGAGGCGCAGAGCCTCTGCCGGACAGGACGCACTTTGCAGGAATTTGTGGGTCGGTGGGGAGTGTTCCTCTCGGCACCTGCAGTGGTGCATGGAGCCGCAGCTGGACGGTGTCCTAGAGCTGTGGCCTTTGACCCCGTCCGTGGTTGGTATGCTCCGTGGCCTGTTAGGAAGGACCCGGGCTGCACGGCAGGAGGGGAGCAGCGAGCTAGAGCTGGGGAGGGAGCTTCGCCTGTGCTCACAGCGGCTCCCCATCTCCCGCATCACCGCCTGAGCGCCGCCACCTGTCGTGTGAGAGTCTCACAGCAGCGCGGACCCTGCTGTAAGCTGCGCTTGCAAGGGGTCTAGGTTGCTGCTGCCTAGGAGAAGCTGACGCCTGGTGATCTGGGGTGGAGCTGAGGCGGCGCTGCCAGCGCTGGGGAGGGCTGCACACACCGATCAGCAGCAGCACAGAGGACAGAGATTACAGATCGTCATTAGCAGAGAGCACAGTAAATGTGATGCGCTTGAATCACCCCGAAACATATCCCCCTTGCAACATCTGTGGAAAACTTGTCTTCCATGAAACGGGTCCCTGGTGCCAACAAGGTTGGGGACCGCTGCTCTAGGGTCTAGACCCGTGTTTCTCACCTTTTCCCATTGTGCCCTAAGGATGCTTCTTAGACATTTTTTTTCCTGATCATCCTTCTGTGAAATCTTTTAAAAACTTTTTTTGACAAGTGAAAATTGTGTTGATGGTGTACCCCAGAAATCCCCGACATCCGTGTCAGCCGTGTGGACAGCGTGAGAAAGCAGGACCTGGGTGCGGTCCCCTCCTGCACACAGCACTGTGTCTACTCTCCCGACTCTTTAGCTCCCTGCTGTGCTTCCCTCCGTCCCTCCCCCAGCCCCGGTGGTATGAGCGGGAGCAGTTAGAGTCGTCCCGTTTTCCTTGCGTAAGGTGCCTTTCTTTGCGGCCTGGAGGCCCTGAGCGTGAGGGGTGCGGGGCGCTGCCCGCTGGCCCGCCCATCCAGGAATTCCCAGGAACTCCTGACAGCTGGGCTGAAGTGTGGTGTCCCTCGTGTCGGGAAGATCACTCCCAAGTTGCCTGAAGGCGGGTCCCCCCCAGAACGCCCCTGTTTGAGTCATGATTAAGTGACCTGAGCAGCTGAGGAAGGCCCTAGAATCAGGTGGGCTTGGGGGAGGGAGAAACACGGAGGACAGACTTTCCCCTCTGAGGTTTGTATTGTGAGTCTCACCGAGGCGCGGTCCTGCAGTCCAGAAATCACCGAGGACAGTGAGTGTTCTGGAGGAACTTTTGGGCTGGGAGGTGTGGAATGAAGTCCGGCTCTAGCTGCTGTAGCTCTCGGGGGACACTCACCGTAGCAGTCACCTGACACTTGGCGGTGCTGTGCTCTGCTGGCTGCGGGTTAAGGGACACTAAGGTAATTGTGCGTGGGGAGGAGACTTGAACAAGGAGGAGATAACGATTGTGGAGAGATGGGTTTGCAGTCTCTGGAGTGGGTGGAGGAGAATTGGCCAGCCACGGTCCTCAGCACCCCCTTGGCGGCTGTGCGTTGATCCATGTCATTGGCCAGTCACGCATGTACTGAGTACCTACCAGGTGCCTGGCCCCGTGCAGTGTCACTCTGGGCTGTGAGGGTTATTCCTTTAAGACGCTGTGACAACCCCGGGGAGTGTGGGCACACACACTTTCTCCAGCCAGCTGGCCCGTAGCTCTTGGATTCTCAAGGAGCTGGTGACCCAGAACTACTTGAGAATCGTTCCTGTTATAAACCCGGAGAGGACGAAGTCTGGAGCTTGTCGGCAGGGGAGGCAGAGGCGGGTGTGTGAAGCTTCGTGCCTCACCAGCTTGGATGTAGGTGCTGGTGCCAGCGCAGCCTCGGATGATCTCTGGGCTTGTCCCACTGCCATCGCCGTATCCACCGGCAAGGAAGCGGGCTCGGGGTGGGCTGTCCAAGCACGCCGCGCTAAGGGCTTGTCGCAAGCAGCCTGAGATCTTGAGTTTTATCCTGAAAGCCCAAGCAGTCTTGCGCCTCCCCCCTTCCTGTCCCTGGACATGACCCATGTATGACCTGTGACCACAGCAAGTCATTACACATCTGTGCTGTCTTTTTTTTGTTGTTTGTTTGTTTGTTTTGGAGACAATCTGTTGCCTGAGCTAGAGGGCCATGGCATCAGCCTAGCTCACAGCAGCCTCAAACTCCCGGACTCAAGCGATCCTCCTGCCTCAGCCTCCTAAGTAGCTGGGACTACAAGCGCCACCATGACTGGCTAATTTTTTCTGTATATTTTTAGTTGGCCAATTAACTTTTTTCTATATATAGTAGAGATGGGGTCTTGCTCTTGCTCATGCTGGTTTCAAACTCCTGACCTTGGGCAATCCTCCCACCTCCGCCTCCCAGAGTGCTAGGATTACAGGTGTGAGCCACCGCGCCCAGCCTGTGCTGTCATTTTGATGCTCAGATACTCTGTAGCTGCAGAGCCATGGAGGAGAGAGCACAGGTGTGTCAAATAAAATCCAAGCCGGACTCAGGCGGGGAGAGACCTGGCGTGGAAGCACTGCCGAGGGTGGCCCGTGACTGCCAGGCGGCTCAGCGCCAGGCAGGAAGGGGTTTCTTTCTGTCCTGGGGAGGCGTGACCAGGCCAAAAGGAACCTGCTGTGGGCACGTGGGGAGGGGCAGAGCAGAGAGCCCTGGGGTCAGCCCGGAGGCTGGGCTGGGTCACATCGGGGCCTGAGGGACTGTGGGAAGCTGCCCCTCGGCCTTGCTCCCTTCACGGTGCTGTGCTCCAGGTGGCCAGTGGGCACAAGCAGTTCGGCCCGTGCTCTGTGAGGCAGAGAATGGGAACTTGGAGGGCTTTGGTGTGGGTACCCGGGCGATCCGCGATCCTGTCTGAGTCACATGGGGCAGGATGGCTCTGGGCAGAACACTTTCCCAGAATGCTGAGGGCGGGACTTCGAGATTGTTTCCAGGGTCACAGGGTTGGGGTAAAGGTCACCCTCTCAAGGTGGCAGAAGGCTGCCAGGGCCTGCCAGCTGCCCTGGGGCCCAGCGGACCTTCACAAAACACTGCTAGGGACACGGGCGGCTTCTCAAGAGTCCCCGTGGCTGGCTAAGAGCTTTTCCTGATGTTAAGAAAAACTGAGACTTTGGAACCACCACCACAAAAAGGGATTCCTGGTGTCCAGCTTCTAGCACGTCCCTCGCGGGGCGTGATTATCCACAGCGTGGCGCCTCTCGTCACCTTGGCGCTACTGGACACCTGCAAACTGTGGAAAGCTGATAGCAGTGCCAGTGCTCCTAGTCCTAGAGATGCAGGGGACTGTGTCCTCCAGGGGCGCAGTGCGTGTCCCCCCACACCCTCATCCCCATCCTGGCGCGCACCGCGCGGCCTCGTCAGAGAAGCCGACTGTTATTACCCAACTCATTCTTCTCTCCTCGCGACCTGCGCGTGCGTCTGTTCCGTGGATTCTCCTTTTAAGTGTTTTAACGTCGTATTGTCCCCTCACTGATTAGGGAGTCAAATCTTTGCCACGGGTTCATTTTACGTTTGTGGGAGTTTTGCTGTCCCCCGTGAGGGACCCGAGCAGTAGCGACTGTGGGAGCCGGGCGCAGCCAGCAGGGCAGGTTCCTCACCGCGGCGCTGACGAGGACAGGGCGGGGGCCGGGTCCTTGTCACTCCAGCCTCGAAGGGAGGGCAGACATGTGCCCTAAAACTTTGTTTTTAAAGTAACTTTGTTTGAATATCCATTTAAACTCTCCAAACCATGTTTTCAGATTGTATTAATCTTGAGACTCGAATTCCTGATGCCCTCAGGGGCGCCTGCGCCCTGCCCTGCTCCCAACTGCTGGGCTCCGAGCTGCCCCGCCCGCCCGGGTCTGGCCTGCCCACCCGGAGCGCTGGTGCAGCTGCCGACCTCAGCAATGCGTACGGCCAGGCCCGCGGCCCTTCATAGTTCTGTTATCGCTCTCACCAGTGACTCATCCACC